CGGTCGCCGCATCAAACAACCCCATTCGTCCGGCGGTCAGCGGTGTCTGTGTGTCCTGCTGTGGGCAAGCACACGAACTGGGCGAGGAACTGGGCCGGCGGGGCATGTATTCATTGTACCTACCAAACGCTTCGTTACACCACGGTGCCCCCACGTAAAAAAGAAAAAATATAACATGGACGTGGGGCAAGCACACCACAGACATCTTGGCCAGGCTAGGTAGGCCGCTGCTTATGTCTGCTGCTTCTCCCCTTGACCCAGTCTCGACTAATCAATACAGTCAGTCACGGTCTTGCTGTATCTCACCAGAGTGTTGCATTCTCAGAGAGGCGAACAATCCACAGGTTTGACGAAAGATCACGCGCCGGCTCTCTCTTCCTGAGGAAAGCCTGCAGGCAGGGGCAACGCCCGGTGCCGGGGATGGCCATGGGGAAGGCGTTGCCGGGTGAAAGCATTTTGGCCTCGATGCATTGACATAAGGACGGGGAAATCCACCCTATGAGGCAGCGAGCAGCGACAAGTGAGTGTGAATAAGCTCCGCATGTGTTTGATCGAACATCAGCCTTTCCCTATGTGTACTGTTAATAGCTGTATTCTGTGTTGAGCAAGCTCACCCTGCGCTCATAATCTTGACAAGATCCATGCTGCTATTGCTGCTGGTGTGCGCCCTCGTGTTGTGCATATGCATACCATATGTAGACCAACCCCCAGGGCCGATGACCCAAGTTTGGCCGCCCACCTTCCTGGTGTATGTACAAGTGTGGATATTGCGTAGAAAGGCGCTACATATGCATATAAAGGCGTGGATTGATCTTCTGAGGAGCTTTCAACTCAAACTTTCAAACGTGGGCTCGATTGGATTGATCGGCAACTTTGGCAACTCTTTCTCTTTCGTTTAGTAGATGCAGCAGTACTCCTGAGGCAGTGGAGCTTGAAAGATCACACCCTCAGGGATTGGTACCCCGACAAAACATGTGTCCACACCGTTGTTGCGGCTACCTCTTCCCAGCACACGATCACGTTGATCCAAGCTCCTCGTCTGGATATCTACAGTACTACACTACTTTAGTCTATGTGGTCTATGCAGCTTAGGTTGCAGATGTGTGGAAACTTCATTTTCCAAAAGCGGGTGTTGATGTGATCCACAGCAGAGGCTCAGGCGTACACCTTGAGTACATGTCTGAAGTTGGTCTTGCAACGTTGAAAAGGCTCTTTCTCGGACCCAGGGAGGCAACTGCTTGGAACAGAAGCGCCGAACAAGAGAAGGGCTGCTAGAGTTTACCATCCAGAACCCCCTTTCAGACCGACGCTGCCATACGCACCTCCAAACCTGACTGCAGGGCGTGTGGAGTGCGATGCTGGCTGTGACCGTCTTCCCAGTTCCTACATGTTTCGCTCAATGCCTCATAAAAGGTGGACGCACAACCTTCCCGCCGCATCTGACCTACACGCAACCGGTCACATGTTCCTGTGCTTGCTTCGCGCCCGATCTGGCAGGAGGGTGACTCTGATCAACGCCGTGGAGGGTCGCAAGATAAGAACCATATCCACATACGAAAGTACGGCTGCGGGGTGGTCCGCGACATTACACTCAACACGACCAGGTGGGATCGAGGGGCCGCCCGTTGCTGCCTTATCCTGTTTTTGTTGTCGTGTCGCGGTAGCGTTGAACGTCAAGTCTGACTCGATGCTCTCTGGCACACAGTAGCCTTCGCAGGGTTTTTCGACATGTCGGCATGCAATCAGGGAAGTTGGGTTAGGGTTAGGGTTAGGGAATAGGGTCTGCGTACCCCCTCCCTGTTCTACCGTTTTCCTCATTAACTTAATTTCTCGCGAAGGCGGTCCCTGGCACAAATGATGCCATCGTCGTGGGCGCGTGGCTGTTCAAAATGGAGTGCTTGCGAGGCCGTGGAGAGGGAATTTTCAGAGTTTTTGGGATCGGCGTCGAATTTCTTCAACCCCGAGCTGATGCCACGAGAGGGTTTAGCAGCAGGCGGTGTATCGCGAGCTCGCCCAGCAAAAAGCATGAACTTTAACTTTCTCACGACTTCAACCCCTTTGTGATAGGGCCAGCGCTTCAGTGTAGGAGAGAATGGCACCCGGTGACTTTCACAAGTCATCAACGCGCCAAGATTCCGACTGCCATGATGCACGTGCAATTTTTATGTTGAAGATTATGTGCCTTGTGGCTGTCCATCCGATCAGCAATACAAGTAGTACTTTGCTATTTTGAAGGCTACAGATGAACGCCGCTTGCCCCAAGGTCCGTGTGCATCGCGGAATCTGCATGCCGCTACTTCTGTTCAACAATACGTGCATGCTTCGAACGGATTGCCGAATTTTGTCGGTGCAAACGATGCGGGTCGCGCCCACTCCTTGTCACTCACGACAGAGTCCTCTTCTTTGACGTCTCTATCGCTCATCACGCCGTGCTGCTACATCCCTCCCCCTTCGTCGCCTTAAAATCCGGGCGGCACCCCCCCCTACCCCGACGGACCCACACCTAGACACTAGGATAAAGAGGTGTATTCTCTAGAATGTGATTGTACCTAAGCTAGAGTATGCAGGAGAGGTATGGGAAGGTAACGAAAAGGCCGCCAAGCAGCTGGAAACGGTGCAGATGGCTGCGGCCAAGAAAATACTAGGATGTTCAAGTACAACGAGCAACACTGTATTGAGAGCAGAATTGGGAATGTACTCTCTTAAAACAAAGAGAGACATGCAGAAGTTGAATTCGCAGTACAAGGTAAGCAGGATGTCGGACGATAGACTACCATCCATGGTTGACAAGGCAGCTTGGGGAAAAGCGACTCCCAGGGAAGAAGGGAATCAGATGGGACAAGGTGGTAGAGAAGGTTTGGAAGGAGATAGGAGACGAGGAGGAGACGTTGGACATGGAAGGGTTCGGGGGGTTCAAGACGAAAGTCAAGGAGATGCTCGAAAGTAGGGAGGAGGCAACCCTTCGGAAGAAGGTACGAAGCGAAGACCACTTGGAGATATACGGGAAGTTGAAAGAAGGGATAGGGATGAAGACGTACTTGGACGGCCCCATGGACTATGCGAAAAAGCTGAAATTGCAATTTCGAGTAGGCGATCTGGACTTGCCAGAACGGAGGAAGAGGTACCAGCCGTAGGAGAGAGGAAGAGGAGGATAGACACACATGTCCATGTGGCAAATCGGAGGAGAGTAGACCCCACACAGTTGGGGAGTGTAAGTTGTACAGAAAGGAAAGAGAGGATCTCGAGGAGGAAATGAGACAGAGAGGGTGTGACATGGACAAGTTTGGTAATTAGACAACAGCGAAAAAACGATCGCGATAATTGGGGATAGATGGTGGGCACAAGAGGCCCTAGAGGATGGGGATAAGATGTGCAAGAAATTTTTATGGAGTTTGTGGCAGAAACGTAAAGAGCTCCCAAATGTTGGTGGTGTCTCTAGTAGGTGTAGGAACGGTGCTCCGTCTCGAAAGGGACGCGTGGTCAATGGTCAAATGACTACGGCAAGCAACAAATGAGTACGCCCCCCCCCCCCCCCCCCTACCCCGTGCAAAGGGGCCGCCTTCGCGAGAAAGTAAGTTTATGAGGAAATTGAACTGGAATGAGGTACGCAGACCCTATTCCCTAATCCTAACCCTAACCCAACTTCCCCCATTGTATGCTTTATCCAACATGTGTACATAATACGAAAAACCCTGCCAAGGCTACCGGTGCATAGACCGTGCTGGTGAGCTCGGACGCGGACGGTGCGGACCATGTCGTGCGATACTTGTCGCTGTACGACGACCGCTTTCTCCGATTCTTCACCGGGCACACCAACAGGATCGTCTCCACTGCCATGAGTCCCGCCGACGACCACTTCATGACCGGCTCCGCGGACAGGTCATAGAGAGAGAGACAGAGAGAGAGAGAGAGAGAAAAAAAAAATCGGGGACAAACAGAAACCAAAAGAGAATCAAGTGGATGTGAAAAGAGGGAATCGTCCTCGACAGACGTTGGGAGATTGTAGCCTTTATGAAGGTAATCTCCGCATGGAGACGTGTTTTGTTTTGACGATGGCTTCTCAAGTGCCAGCACACCAGCACGCTTTCTGGTTTCAGCGGCGTGACTGGCAAAAGTACATTTGGCGGGAAAGGTGATGTTGTGTTCCGTCTGCCCGAGGAGGATAAAGAAAGGAATACTCTACTCTCTCGCAACAAGAGCCTGTTACCGAATTCGTTTTTGCGCACCCACCTCTCCTGCTATGGACAATTGATGGGATTGGTTGAAAGAGCTTGATTATGTTTGAGCCAACATTTTGTCTACGTGGAATAGCGAGGGCTTGTGCCCTATGTTTTCTTGGCTTCGCAAGGCACAGTTGGGCGGAGAGTGAGGAAGGGAGGGGCTCCGTGTCGCCTGTGTTCTCCACAACACGGTGGAACTGCTTCTCTATCGGTTTCCTCTGCCCTGCATCGGACTTGTTGTATTGCATTGAGGGAGGAGGGACGGAGTGGTTTAATTGTGCCGTTGTGTGCTAGCGAGTGTCTAGCACGTGTTCCTTCAGACGACATGCTCCCCGGGAGAGACGGACGTGAAATAATGCCAATGTTGCCATTACCTCACAGGAACCGCCCCCCATGCCCCTGCCCCCCTCTTGAACAACGGTGTTGCTATGCACGTTCCGAGTCGCGATTCGCGGACACCTCCTTGAACATACCTCCTTGAAATGAACTTTGCCCTCAACGATATTTCGGCGCCCCCTCATGCACCCCTCCCCCTGCCCCGCTCCGCTTTTCAGTTGTGCGTGCGCCTCTTCTCGGCCGGCATGATCGATTTCTATGGGGCAAACTCATGCGCCGACCGCACCAGGACGGTACGGTTATGGCACCTGTCGAGACCACAGGGCCTGGCGGTACTGGAGTTTCCGCCTGGCCACGGAACGCCGTAGGTGGTGTACGACCAGCGGGGGTTGGTCTTCGCCGCAGCTACCTCCACCGGCAAGGCCAACACCGTCAAGCTGCACGATGCACGAAATGTGAGAGTCTGGTGCTGTTGGCCAGCGGAGACCTTTCTGACCCATCCGCGGCGTGATTGATTGTGGTCATGACCAGCGTTTTGTGTGGTGTTTGGTTTTCCGAAGTAACGTCTGCGGTGCCCACCCTCCTATACGTGGCCGCCTTTCCCCCTCTCTGCCCTCATAAGAACTGCCAGGATTGTAACCAACACATCATGTTTTCCCCGGCGACATTATTTTTGTACAATCGTATCGTTGCCGAGGAGGAATTGGGAAGGAATGGGTTTTCAGTACTTCATCCACTGCTATATGCAACGAGTGCTTCACAGTCGTGCATGGTGTGTCGTCGTCGATGTACCCCAGTGCTGTAGAGAGGAAAGGGGGGAAGAAAGGATGGTAGTTTGGGGCGTAGCTTGCGAGTGAGTGCGTTTTCGGGAGACATACCCGTGAGGAGCTACAGCGTAGGGAGACAGCGCGCCGGCCGGAGATTCCCCCGCCACATGTACCCACCTAGCGCATTTGGGCCTCGTAGAGATGTCAAGGTTTTAGGATATTCGGTGGATGCAGGCGCCTTCTGTTTTTTTGTGAGTGTGTCCTGCGGGACACCGTTTTCACGAAGAAAGGGTCGTTTCACCCCCATGTCGTTCGTGTCATGGGACATGACCGGCCTCATAGTGAGTTTGTATACTCCGTTTGCTGGTCTTGTTACTACTGTTGCTGCTGCTGATGCTGATGCTGTGATGGTAGCCTGGTTGTTTGTCGACAGAGCGCACACCGTACCGCGTGGCAACAAATGTTGTGTGCGGTCGGTCGGTTGTTTTCCGTGCTATCGTAAACGCTTGCTGAGGCTCACTTGATACCCATGGAGGCGATGGACCCGACAACCCGACCTGTCGTGGTCGTTCGTCGGCCCAACTGCTGCTGTTGTCCTGTCGATGAAAAATTGTTCTGTTTGTAGAACGTTTTCTTAACAGATCGTGGCCCAAAACTGTGTACGTACGACGACGAGCTCACCGTTTGCGTTCGTGGCTGTTTCTTGTGATACTGCTGTACATATGCTCGCGTTTGCTTTTGTCTCGGCGTCGCTGACGGCGGACACGACGGTACGAGAAGGGCTCGTTCAGCAAGTTCACCGTGGAACTTAGCAAGGTGTGCGATGATACTGAGTACTTCTTGGAGTTTTACGGTAGCGATCTCGGCCGTTGGCGAGTTTGTTTTCTTTTTTACATGTACTTCCCCTCCGCTACGCCGCCCGCAGTTGCTACCTGCCCTTCTATGTTCGTCCACTCCTCTACTGTAGAACTGCAACTCCAGTCCGGGGCTGCGCTAATGGGTTGCGACTGCCCATTCTTCGTTGTTGTTGGTCTTTGGTTGTGCGTGTGATGCTTTTTTTCTACGGTTTTTCTATCACTCAGGTTTCTGGGGCTAGCCCCGGTTCTGTGCCATACAGCCCTCGCCTGACAGCATTGATGAGGGGCGCGTCCCGTTTGTCTGGGACGAAGCAGCCACGCCGCATGGAACGTAATGTACAGCTTGACAAACCCTGGGTGTTTCGACGCTACAGCAGTAGAACCTCAGAGCCTGCATATCGCTTCGGGCCCGCGAAAACATTGCCAAAGACACCGCTGCGCAACAGCAATCATAACTGCTTCACGGCAACAGGGTGGTAATCACAGCACTGCATCGTCATTAACACCCTTCCCACCTCGCCCTCCCCGCGATACTTGCACCTCTCCGCACCGGCTGCGACATGCATGTTCAACTACTACATACACAGATAGATCCAGCCAGGTGTTCACCGAGCACCACCAGAACAACCTGCACTCGGAGCTGTACAAGTCACCCCGAACGCGGAGTACGTCCTGTCCGGCTCCGAAGGCAGCGGCATCTACGCCTGGCGCGCGGGAGGCGGAAAGCTGGCCAAGACTCTCAAGAGGCACTCGTCCGCGGTGGGCAGGGTGCTGGTCGGCCCCAGTACAAGGTCGTCGCGAGCGCGTGCACGAACGCGGCGCTGTGGATAGACGCGGGTTTGGAGCCGGCGCCAGTGGGTGTTGTCTTTGTCGCTAGGCGCTACGGCTCCTCTCTCTCTTGAGTCCGGCAGCTGCTGTTTGCTGCTTGTACATTGCAGAAGTGCGGAGAAGTCGTCGGGCCTTTCCTCATGCCCGTTGTCCACCGCGCCTTCCTTGCACGAAGCGCCGCGGCCACCATGCAGCCCGTTGACCTCTAGCCTGGGGTTGTCGGGGGAAAAAAGACCGGGCGCCTGGCGTAAGACGTAGCTGTGTGAATGGTACATATGCATATGAAGATTTCAGCCCATGGTACGGAGGCACTTCGCTGGGATCGCAAAGCCTCGCCAGGTCCGTCTGGAAGTTTAGTCCCGGGCACCCGGAAATGTTTAAGAATAGTTATGTTGGTTCTGTCGTTCTGTCGCAACTGGTGTGTTCCCGGTCGGGCGAAAACTCAGCTTGTCGCTGTGATAGGCCGCCTTCGTAGACAGGAAAAAATGAAATTCACCACCTCGCACGACCCCCCACATCTACAGCAGAAATTATTCGAAAGGTAAGCAAGCCAGGCCAAACAACAGAGCAGACGTTTCAGGAAACGAGGCGTGATGGGGTGTCGGTTACTCCCGGATAATGAAGATGCTTGTTGTGGCGAAATACACAGCAGCCGCAGCAGCTGTTCACAGCTGAAGCAGTTTGCTGCCACCAACAAACGGAGCGCATTTCGGGTTTGTGTTTCGGACAAGTCCTGTCAACTGCTTTCCTCTTTTGAGACTTGTAGGGTACATATTACCTCCCTCTCCCTGCTGTGGGACATGAAAGTTTGGGCGGACACCAAGAAGGCACAGCGTGTTGTTGCCATGTGAGTTTGATTTGAGAGACGGATTACACACGAGCAGCGTACGTAGCAAGCAAGTGACATGGCCTTGCGAACAACAACAGACGAAACTCACGAAAAAAGCGAACAGATGACAGATGACTTGCTAGGATCCCCCAACGGCCCAGCCATCGGTTTGGCTCTTGGTCTCCTCGCTATATGTCTACCACACACCCAAGAGTGCGCGCGCACACGCCGGCCACCCCCATCCGCCCAGTCTGATGGTGGCAGACGAGAGACGAGCGCAATCTCCGGAGAATCATACCGCGGAAATACATTTTTTTCAGAACATCAGACCAGAGACAGGAGGCGGATTTTTTTGTATGCGAACGTTCCTGGGTGCAGAGTGCAGAACGGCGGTGCGCCCATCGACAGCAGCATCTGTACAGCTGTACAGTCATGCTGGTAACTTCGCTTATAGGTACAGAGCTGCAGATAGCCTCCGGTAGGAGTGTGCTTTCGTTTCCCCTGCGGTGCTGAGACCAAGGGCGGCACGCGCCTGGCTGTTCTGTGCATGGATGCAGAACAGAGAGAGAGAGAGACAGCGTGCCAGGCCCAGACGTCCTTTCCCCGCCGCCTCGTGTGTTTTTTGTCCTCTCTCTCTCTCACTCTCTCCGCGTTCTTTCCTTCTTTCCTTCTTGTTTCCATGAAATGAGACAGAGGTTGGCAACGCAGCTGTAGCGCTGCTGCGGCCTTGTGCTCGTAGTATTTCATGCCAAGCACACGCCTGGCCGCCAGCTCTACAAGCCACGATGTGATCTAAAAAGCATGATGAGATAGATGTGCACCGGTGGCGAAATACATTGTATGTTGCTCCGGGTTTCTGCGAGGGTCTGTGTGTTTTGATGCTCATGCGAAACATATCGTATGATAGCCGAGTAATATGCACGTCGCCGTTAGACTATGCAAAGCAACCGCCCAAAGAGGTTGTGTGTTACTGCCCCTCCCCCCTTGCTTTGTGAACCCGCAGGAGAGGAGAGAGACAAAGCCGATACACCACTCACCAGCCGCACTCAGCTGGTTGCCTGATGCCGCTGAAGGTGTTGGTTAGCCGCGAGTTATGGATTGGAGCAAGAGCATCCTTCTGGAGCATGTCCTCTCGACGTCGCAGAGACGTCTCCCGGCTAATATTTGAATTTCAATTGCTGGATACAGAACAGGAGAGGGAGAAGAGAGTGCCAGCTCGGTAATCATGAAGGGAGGTAAGTATCCCTTGGAGAGATACTGTAGTGCTGCCACATCGTAGACGTGTTTCGTTTTGCAACATACATATCTACCGTGTGGATATCTTGCTCTTGATCCCGCTCTCCCGATGTGTTTGTAAATAAAGCATGTAGAGCAGAGGTCTGTGTAGTTCACCCAGCAAATGCGCGGGGGTGTGGTTCCATATTTTACATTATTCCAGACCAGACCACACCCCAAACTCGAAACCTCCATGTCGCCGTCTCCCCCCTCAAGCTAGCTCTGTCGCTTCCCCGACCCACTCATTCACACCTTCTCCCCCCGCCTTTCTCCTCTCCTGAACATCAGCACCAAGGGCCGCCTTCTTCGCCGACGACAGCCAGCGGCACCAGCGATCAAGAGCTTCCTGCAGGAGCGGTGCACTTGAGCGTGTCTTCCTTCCCTCTTTGGACTGGCTGCAGGCCTGCTGAACTGCCGAGAGGAAGTGAGTGAAATTGCGGCATAATGTTTGTAGTTTGTTGCAGGTCGTGCATACGTTTGCGTACGTTAGACGGCGCTAGTCTGCATCGACACATAAGATACGGAGAAGCAAAGACATGTAGAACCCGAGGCTTCGGATTGGGCGGGGGCCGTGTTGCGCACGAGGTGAGTGCCATGAATGTCCGGATCTTGTCCATTTTGTAGTTTTTATGGGTTGGTTCTGCCCTTGTCAAGAAGGCGGATGGGCGGTGGCAATCCGCTCTCACTGACCCTCATCGTTGTGGTGGCGAGGCCTCACGCAGCTAAATAATATGTCACTCCCAGCCGGCCGCGGTTGCCCCCTCTCCGCATCTCGATCCTCGCGCTAGCCTGTCATTGCCCGCAGCCACTCAAACATCCAGGCCAGCCTAGCCAGTCAATCCCCCACAAATCCCCAAGCCACTCAAAACCCAAGGCAGGTGTCCATTTCCAGAGTTCGTTGGCTAAAGGTTAAGGTCAAAGCTTACCCCTCTGCTCACGTGTGCAGGATACTTGACGTATTTCAACCAGCCGACGGAGGCTGTGGTGATTCTGTTGCATTCGAAAGTCGTGTTCGTCGTTCAATAGCGTGCCGTGCGGGGTTGGCACCGAAAATGCGGCAAGCCTAGCGGGGGCACTGCAATCTTGTGCACACACCAGCCAAAAATAGGCGTGAAAAAATATGTTTCTGTTGTGTGTGTGTGCCGATCACGAAGCGGTTTTTGAGATTGTTTCCATCGGGTGGTGTGGCAAGCGCTCGAGATCGAGGCAATGTGGCTGCAAAATGCTCTCGTGACAGCAAGTGTTGTGCGTTTACTTTCCTTTCCGCCTCGTTTGCACGGGGCGAAAATCCTGACCACCCCAGCTGGTGCAAGCATGGTGCAGGGTGCATATCTTGTTTGACCGCTTATCCCGTCTCTTGTTCCTCCGGTTCCACTCGTCACAGCAGGGTGCAGCTGGAAAACATGTCCAGCACGGCCGCCACCGAGGCTTCGGGAGCGGCACCATCGAACAGGCGAGGGCACAGCAGATAAAACACATTCTATCCTACCCACACGCAGATATTTTTTGCCGTTTTTTTCGTTTGGGCTGCGTGTTGTGTCATGCTGTATGTACAAGTATCTACCGCTGCTTTATAAACATCACTGATACGTTACCCCAAAGGATCAAAAACGATATGTAACTTCAAAAAAACGGCGGGAAACATCTGCTGTCCGTGAAATTCAAAAATCTGTAAATTTGAAAAACGAGTGATGTACTGCTGTAGACTTTTTTCCACCTTCCATGATTTTTAAAATATTATTCCTAATATGTCTAATAAACCAGCAAGCTGTCAATAGACACTGCGCCGTGTCCCCTGTGAAGGTTACATTTTACAATACACGACACAACGGAGAGATTCTCCCCGATATTTTGTCGTTGACCCAGTGGAGAACTACAGGGGATGTATTGTAAAATGTAAGTTACCTATACAGATGTTTTTGTACTTAGCACCAGCTGGCATCACTGGTATAAATCATCAGTGTATAGACTTAAAAAGACTCGAAATAAGTCCAGTACCCAGCCGGTTTCCCTCCACTCACTGAAAAGACTCCACCACATCCCGTTCGACTGTGGGTATATCTCGAATGGATAGTCTTTCTGTGTGTGTTTTCATTATTCCTTAAGGATCTACCGCTATTTTTGTTTTTTGGTGCCCGTAGTTGGGAAAGCATTGCCCACGCAACTCTATTAAGGCACATGTCGGTATTTTGCTTACCCAACACGGGCTGTGTGTGGATTGCCAACACGCAACTCTTTTACGGTGCATATCGATATTTTGCTCACACAACATGGCCGGCGTGTTTTCGGCGAGCAATATTTTTTAAAGCCATGATACGATTGCTAATGAGTCAAATCTTAGTCGTGATTGTATAGTTCCTCATCGAGAGTAGTCAAGATGAAAATATTGGTCCATGAACTTCGAGCAAAGATCCACAGACCCAATTGTCGCAAAAAAACAAGTTTCAATTTTGAATGTTGCGCTTGCGTTGAGAGGTTGCTAGCAGTGTGTGTAGAAAGAAAGGTACGTCGTACTCGAGTATTATTAGAGTATACGCAGTTGCACTGAAACGTGAGACTTTGAGTAAGCAAAAAAAAATACCCGTACTCAAGAATTTGAGTCAAGTGTAGATGTACATAGTGCCCATACCTGGTCTACGCGAGTATTTTACCCAACCTTAGTCAAGCGTGTTGAGTAAGAACAAGAACAATAGGAACCTTTCTCAGGGAGGTGCGGATTTGATTGACTCAAGATTTTGAGTACGCAACGTTGTAGAAGTGCTTAACCGTACTCACGGTCGGGTAGGGTAGAGTGTATATACATGCTTGCTCAAAATACTCTGAGCAGGCGTTTACTGTAGTAATATCCTACCAACACACCCTTGGCTTGTTGTAAAAACTGCTGTCATGAGTGTTACCCGCTGAGGATTGTGGACTACTAGTAGAACGACTTTTTGGTCAAAACTCCATTGTTGTTTCTGCGTGCTCTGCTGTAGAGCCTGACGTCGTCCGCGTTATTTTGCCCGAGATGTGACAACAGAAGAAGCAGTGCAGACTAAGTGTGCACTCCACCGGCGGTGGGTGTTGGTTGGGCAGGGTATAACGTGGGCCAGAGCTGTCTGTAGTGTTTCTAGAGTATCTATTGTTCGTTCGAAGGATCAATCCACAAGACCTGGTTGACGTTGCAACGAACGAAATGTAATTTTTTTGTGGTTTGGGTAGGAGTCCGCTCACGTTTGTATGTGGATACGAGTGAATATGCCAACAGGCAAGTGTAGCACTTGGAGCCTTGTCGATTCGGTCGTTGTGCTGGTGTTATGCGTAGCAGTGCTATTAGTTAAGGTGTCCCGCATGAACTGGTTGCGACACAAATAGCAGTTTTTTATTTGATCAGAAACACCCGTGATTGCGAGACCACGTTCAACCAATGAAGATAGCAGCTCGCGACGTAAGCGACAATATATATGTTGATAGCGGTACCCCGCCGCCAACACACGGTTGTGCAGATCTATCCGTACCTAACGCGCTAATTTTTCTGCAGCTTTTTTTTCGCTCCGATGTCAACTCCAACAATAGACCCCCGTGCCGTGTATCACGGCTCATGACATGAAAATATATTTCCGCGGTACGGGGTGTGTTGAATCGGTACCTAGCCTGCCATGGGCGATGGGTGTTTGTTCGAACGGTCATCTCAGGACCCTAAACAGCGGGTCAGCACTGACTGTGTATCTTATATCCGTCAAGAGGATCAGCCCCACTAGACTAGCCAGCTGTTTGTAGTCCAGCGTGGTTGATGCTCTTCACGACCAAAATACATCCTCTGTGCCTCGCTGAGTAGTCTAGTGTCTTGACCCTCCAACCAACATGAGTGGGCATCCGAGAATTTCATAGACTCGCACCCTGTAATCCAACCATCGTGTCTGGTGTCTGGTGGTGTTGTGCGTGGCAATGCTAGTCTAGGCGACTTACCAAGTGTAGCGCGCTTGTCGAAGCGCTTGTGTCTCTGTGTTGTGCTGTCTCTACGTCCCTTCACACACACATGGTCTGTTTGTTTAGCGTGATACCATGCACGGGAAGCCCGGCATTGCAACCAAACTGCTGACATCGCGTCCCAACTGTAGTATTGTACATATTATCGATATCGGTTGTGAATCGTCGGCAGTTACCCATGATGTGTTGTACTTTGCGATGATCTGGTTGCCGCAATCGTCTCATGAGACAAATGTGGCCTAATCATTGCATTGTTGTATCAGCTGGGTCGGTTGTAGAGCTTCTCTGCATCCATAGCAAACTCCTAACTTTGTGTCAGTGAAGTGGAAGTTCGGAGTGTGACAACTCCAGAACACCAGCATTTCTGCTCCTCATAAACAGGCGTTGGCTATGGATGGTGTACGCAAACCGATGAGTAGTTGGAGCTTCTGGAAATTCATCTCTTTTCAGTAAGTTTGTGTTGTTTCCTCCATCTACTTTGGGTTTGGAAGCATAAGACATCCTGTCGTTGTGATTTCTTTGTGTCCGTGTTGAAGAACCGTGTTCACCCATTGTTAGAAAATGTACTTTGCGCTCACGGTCGTTGTTGCAAACAAGCTGTGACCCTCGCCCCACCCCACCCCCGCCCCCGTCCACCCTGCCTGCACAGCGCGGTTGACAATAACGAAGTTCGGCAATGCCAGGGGGAGAACTGTCGCCCTCCCGGCCCGGCCCCTTCGCCGGTGCCGAGCTTCCACTCACATTGGGGGAACAGCGGGACCGGACAAGTGTCCCGGGGTTTCTGGGGGTGAGTCGTGCATCGCTCATGGTTTGTGGCTTTCGAAACCTCCGTGAAAACCCTCTACACGGTGCTCACCGGTTCTATCTCTTTTGATTCTGATGTTTGTCTTCACGTCAGAAACCGTCTCCACCTCTGTACAAAACCTCCGCTTGCAACTCTTGACAGCCAACAAACGGCTTTACAGTATGAACTTACGTGTGATCACAGGAACACACCATGAGGTATGGTATTTCGAAAGTAAAGGAGATCAAGAGAGAACTACACTACTGACAAGAAAGTTAATCCTTGTATGCATAGGAACATGGTCTCTTGTTAGATACCGGCGTGCATTTCGATTGCCCGAAACCACAGACCTACTAGATGTTCGCAGATGAACTTTTTCTTCGCGATGAGCAGCACGAGGCGACGGCCACCCCGCGTAGTTTTCCTTTCACACATGTTCCCTGACTTTTCCCACAACAATAGGCCAATCGATGGCCCGGCAGCCGCCAACGCATTGCGGGCAGTGGCTGCCCCCACGAGTGGGAGGAGGAAGAGGCAGAGGCTCGGACAACGGGGGGAGGTAAGATCGATACCAAAGCTGTGGGCGTGGTGATTTGCTATTTTCCGGGCTGAATTCAACAGTGGCCTGAGTTGTGGACTCAATAATACTCTTTTGACACGTTCCCTTTTGGCACCTCCCCCCCCCCGGGCTAGAAAAGCCATCGGAACTGAACTTCTGGATTCTGCGACGGCAGCGCCTGATGCTGGTGTCTTTTGTTAATGTATTGAAGGATATTATGTGCTGTTGACAATGAAACTTCGCCCTGGTGGCAGCAGCAGGGTTGTAATATTGTATTGTTCAACTTTTGGTGTGTTCCGAGGTGTTACCACTTACACTGTGTGTGGAGAGGTTCCGCGCTGCTTTGATCTGACCTGTTCTCTCTCCCTCTCTGGCTGCTTCCACCAGGCGGCAGCCACCGGTGCCGCACCGGCCATGGAACGGGTTTCAGCACCTGAGGCATCCTCGGCTGCTGGTGGTTCTACTGCTACTGCTCCCGCTGGCAGTGCGACCACCGCGATGGCGGGCCCGCCGCAGCGAGCTGAAGGGAGAGAGGAAGGGGAGACTCAGCCCCCGCCACGGGCCAAGGCCCAGGATAGTAGCCGGACGGGCGGTGTGCCAGTCGTTGGCCCTTCCGCTCCGGCCGGCGCTGCTCCCGCTGCGGACGAGGAAGGTAAAGGTCGTGGCGCTTCCGGTGGTGGCGGTAGTGCGGCGGGCGGAGCGGCCTGTGGAGAGTGCCACCAGACAGAGACCTGGCGCGGTAGGCACGACTGCCACTGCAGGTGAGATGATGAGGAGAGGCGGCAAGAACGGGGGAGCGGCGGCGTTGTTGTAGGCGGTGTTGACGATGCTGTTTTTCGATGGCCTTGTTGTCTGGGCGGATCGAACGCTGCTCGACCAGCTGGGCATGTGTTATCCTTGTTCTGACATGGTTCTCCGCTCACGGGTGGCCTCGTCGCTCGGATGTGTGAACCTAGAGTTGTCGATCGATGCCGTGTTTCGTCATGGCGATACTCCCGGCTTGCCGCTCGGCGTGTTGCCCCCCCATCCCGGTTTTGGTTGGTCTCACGCCCACCCGACCGTGCTTTGTTAGATTGGTGTGCGTTTCAAGTCTAGGCCAGCAAGGGTTCAAAGGAAAGCAAGCAACAAAACAACAAAATTTCTCTCTGACTAATTCCTGACGTGTTGCTCTTCCCCGTGCAGCATCTGCGGCAACAAGGGCGTCCTGGTGGGTGGCACGACCTTGTCAGTTGCCCGTGTCTACGGAAGACCCGAAGACCTGATCAGCTGCGATGGGTGCCCCAGAGCGTTCCACCGGCGTTGTCTTCCGGCTGGAACAGACAGCCAGCTCGCGGCGACTTTCCGAGCGCGGGTGGACGCGTGGTTCTGTTCAAATTGCACCAAGATGGGGCGGACGAGTCTGGTTTACCAGGTACAGCCTAGGTTGACAGCAGTCTTTGCGTGTGTGAAAGAGTGCATACATCCCCGATCGAGTGAAGACCGGTGGTCCTTTTGTCTTTGTGGACCTCGCATGAAACCCATAACAACAGAGCAACCTTCACGAGCAAAGTCTGTCAACTCAGGCTTCCGTTGTACGCGAAATTGACCTCTCCCGTGTCGGTACACGAGGGGATGGACGTGCGGTGATACCAAACACGTAACTCGAGCACGAGGGTCATCAACAAGGCGCATCGTCCCTCCCTTATTGACCGCACACGAGCCAAAATGTTGAACAAAGCATTCTTGTACACCAGTACTGTATTATAGTAGCAAGAGCGAAAGCTGGAAATGACACAGCCGGTGAATTTTCTCTCTCGTTCGCTCGCTCGCCCAAGCACATCAGCACAGGAAGTGGAAGACGAACGGTCGCTCTGATGGGCACGCCAAGGGCCAACACGAACAAAATTTGAGCCTCCTCCCAAGCAAGCTTCTTCTCCTCAAGAAGATGAAACGAAAGTTGCTTGCTTTGGTGTTCGGTAGCGATAAGGAACAGACAGCCGTTCTGCTGCTGACAAATCGTGTCATCTCTTCCGTTGTTTTTCCCGCGCTGTCTCTTTTGTTTTTTTGTTATTTGGTTTGTATCGATGACCTCGGGAACGGGCGCGACCACACGGCCTCCCAACGAGCAGCAAAATCCGGATTGGACGGTGGTGGCAACGGTAAGAGCGAGGGGGGATGGGGCGCCCCTCCTCTTGGAAGACGTGATTAGAACGTCCCACCCGCTCTTTGATGCCATCAAAGCATGTGAACTGAATGTGGACGAGGAGGTTCTGTCCAAGTACAGGGCGTTGGAAAAGAATAACCCGGCGGTGTTGCAGACGCGTCTCAACAACGAGGCGGAAGCGGAGGGCAGGACGGCGGCGGCCGCGGGCAGGGCGGCGGCGGGTAGGGCGCAAGCGGAGATGATGCGGCGGCCGTGCGAGGGCGCTACGAGTGCCACAGCTACTCCCTACACAGGGGACTAGTACGTTACGGGTGGCGTGTCGGGTGCATGCAATTTTGCGGCGTGGTTTGGCAGTGCGTACGGTGGTCCGTGCCACAGCTTGGGATTGACTCTCATGTATGTGCGTCGTTCTCCCCTGTAAGAATAACACGTGTGCTTGAGTGAAGGGGAGGGGCAGGAAAGTGTCCGGTTTGGCGAGTCGAGCGAGTGCACAGGTGTGTGAGGGTGAGCGCCTCGACCGTCAGACCAACTGTGGCCGGAACATTCGTCATTCTTTCCGCGTGAGGCATGCGTTAGTCCTCCGTAAGCCAATACGAAGTACGTACGTTACAACACGAGTTCCCTCGTCGTGCGGCCTGATTGACAATCCCCTACGGGACCCCCCCCCCCCCCCCTCGTGCGCCCGTCGAGCCAGCCTCCGCCTGCTTATGGACGCCATGCCCGTCGTGTACGCCACGCCGGTCAGAGACCTTCAAACCCCCAAGCCGGTAAGGGTTCTGTTGTCAGCTAATGGTATGTATTCATTCCCTAGCTCAAGCGGTTGATCTGGAATACAAGAAGGGGTTGTTGTACATATGCATATGTGTTACAGCGCGCGTGGTGTTGGGAGAAATGAGTTGAAGGGTCGCCGGAGAGCAAGAGCCAAAACCGTGAGAGCTGCCGTCGCATACTTGTAGACTTGAATCAGAATCAGCACATACGTTCGAAATTTCTGAAGCCTTGAACTCCGTGCCATGCTCTCCCTCACAATCAGGTGGTGCCTGTGTGCGAGCTGCTGTTGGCGGCGTACCAGTCGACGGGACTCGACGGAGAGACCGCAGGAAATGGCCAGCTCACCTTTTAGCAACTCGTCGGCAAGATATCGCCTAACTGACCTTTCACGGGGGCATCGGCTGTGGAGGTGAGACTGAAGGCACTGTGTAGGAGGGACAGGTCTTCTCACGGCTGGGTGTTAGCGAGTTTGTCGCAGGTCCTGTCCTTCGAAGCCGAGGGACGTAGGCACATGTGTGTTTGTTTCGAACCCTTGCTGTTGATGCTTACACTATTAGTACGAGTGGTTGTTTCATTTTTTGTCACTAATACGTGCAGCTGTTAGGGTTCTGATGCTTGGTTTCATCGGCTTTTCTCTCATCGGTCTGCTTGAAATTTGAGGGGGATTTTTTCGCAGGAATATTTCGTAAGGCATGACCCATGGGTCAACCGCGCGAGTCAGGGGCAGATGTGTTGGCGGGTCGTTACCTTGCCTATACTTTACGGGTCCCGACCTGACCCGCGGACAAGATTGCGACCCGTGGAAAGAGGCGTGCTTCTTCCGAGTTTAGTTTAACGGTACTTGGAAGGTACATTTAGCTTCTCAGCCAGACTACACCAGAAAACGACGTGCCTGGGTACGCAAAACACGCTGTTTCACTTCCATCTCTTTGTGTGTGAAGAAATAGAATTCATGCACCTGGGGGAAAATTCTAGCTCTGTCCATCTTCCATCTTGCCCTCCCTCGCTCTCACGTGGAAGTTCATCCTGCGGTAGGCCGCTACCCGCTGTTGGGCCACCGTCCTCGTGATCCTCTCCCCCGTAAATTCGGCCAATACATCCATTGGCTGAATACCCTTTAGCGCCGCATTCGCCGCAAAGAGTATTCAGCCAATGGACGTATTGGCCGAATTCAAGGGGCTGAAGATCAAAAAGACGGCGACCCTACAGCGGGTAGCGACCTACCGCAAGATGAACTTTCACGTGAGAGAACGAGGGGGGATAATTCTGAAGCTTTAGCTTCAGTCTCATATTTCAATATCTGTGGGTGGGTGGGTGGAACTTTTATTCGCATAGCCCCCACCCCTTGCCCGACCCTGTCTCAAATGCCGATCTCGAGCTACAGTGTAAATCTCATACATAATAGTGCGAACAGACGAAGAAGGTACAAGAAGGTACTGGGTAGAGAGAACAGAACGAACGGTTTTTTGTAATTAATTGTGAAGACAACAACAACGGCACTGCTGGGTTCGTCCATGGATAGTTTTTGCAGCCCTTTTTTTTTTTACTATTTGTGCATAAAACGACTTCTTCATGGATGGGTAATGAGAGGTTTCAACTCAACTACAACAGTAGCTTACTTACTTTACTGCTGTAACTTACTTCCTGGAGCTTTTTTTTTTTTTTGTCTTCACTTCTAATCAACGCTCACAGCACTAGTGACGTTTATTCCAACCCGTGGTCACACGGAAGAGCCTCTCTCTACCGTCCCCTCCTGCCGTACTTTGCCTTCGATATTTAATGCGAGAAGAGTTCAGCACTCTCTTCCCTCTGTGTACACACGAACTAGCGCTACATCCACTAAGCCAAGAGCGCAAGCTAGAGAAGAACTCACTTTGCAAGAAAACCTCGCTTACGCCGGGATTCGAACCCCTAACCTGACCTCTAGAAGGTTTTGAAGTTACCTACTAGACCAACGGGGCGCCCGGAGTATGGAGGGTGCTCGATGTTCTTATAATATATCGCATCATCAATATTCACAGCTATTTAATAATTATCGCATCATCAATATTCACAGCTAATAATGTTAGTCCACGACGACGAGGATGTCAAACGGTAGGATTGTGTCGGAAAGCTATCGGTGCCAACGCCGCCCGGCCACGGTATCAGCTGTGGAGTAATCGAGCTTTGAACATTTAAAATTGTTCAGGGGGTGCGATATCTTCTGTCATCTACTCTGTGTATGGAACTCTTTGTCGTGCTCGGTGTGCGAGCGTGTCGCGGTGTGCGCCCTCGACTTTATTAACGGCTAAAAAACTGGAAAGCTTCAGACAGGCAACGCGACGATACTCGTCGAGTTGCTATCACAATACATACTACACACGTGCCTCACCCGCGCCCCTCGTAATTTTGTGGAAACGTCGATAATGACAGGGTTGCGGCGTGTTCGCCGCTGACATTATTCAGCCAATGGATGCATTGGCCGAATATACAGGGGAGAGGGTCACGAGGACGGTGGCCGGACAGCGGGTAGCGGCCTACCGCAAGATGGACTTCCACGTGAGAGCAAGGGAGGGCAAAGATGGGCATAGCTAATAGTTTTCTCTCAGGCGCATGAATTCTATTTCTTCATACACAAAGAGATGGAAGTGGAGCAGCGTGTTTTGCGTACTCGGGTGCTTCGTTTTGTGAGCTTCTGTATCATCGGCCCACCTGTAGTCTACCTTGTGTTTGTGCACGTCCATGGCCTTGGCAACAATTGTTTGGAGCAATGGTGCGTGCTACACGTACACCCTCGCCTGATGCCTCGACGGCAATTTCCGTGGGTATGAAAAGATGTGTAGAAAACGAGCAACCGTGGTACATGTGTTCACACACCCTCAAGTCAAGCTGGGGTGAGGTAGTGTTCCCTGCCCTTGCTTTTCTTTGCTGTCAAGCACGTGCTACGTCGACAGCAGCAGCAGCAGCGACTATACCCAACGTTGACGTGGTGGACACGGCGTGGGTGGATGGTATGACCGGGTACGATCGTGTGGTGTTACATATCGTGTGCTGTCAAATCAGTTCGTTTGGGGCACGCAAATAGGTCAGCCACCCCCCCCATCCCCTATCCACGCTCCCGCCCACGCCACCCTTTCCCTTTTCTGGACTCCCCCGGTGTCGTCGCTACGGCAGGGTTGTGTCGTTCAAATTGCGGGAGACTGCTACTTGGACTCGGTGACGGTCGACCCGTTGGCGGAGGGCTGCTCCCCGCGCCTGTTCAACCACTCGTGCCAGCCGAACACGTACCTGCACACGGTGAGCAGCGCGTGCTGTTTCCAACGGTTTCTACCGTAGATATCATTCAGGGTGTGGTGGGTGATAGATACATTGTGGAGTGTGCTGAGAGCACCAAGCACACGCGTTTGAATTCTATTTTGCTCAGTTCGTGTATCTCTGTACAGGCGTGCTTAGGAAGATTGGACGTTTGTTTTTTTCTGTTGTGAAGAGAGGAGAAGGGGCTTCCTCTCACTGCCCCAGCCGAGCGGCACCCGTGCATGACAACAGTTGTGTCTTTAACTATTGTTGGAGTCGACTGCTGTTGGTCGGGTTTTCTGCGGTGCCTGAATCCTCTGCTGCATATCGCCCCAATTTCGAGGAAGGAAGAGAGTGGACACATGGCCCGTTGTTCTTACAAGTACTCCCTCGCACCGTGCAAAGACTGACGTGCTTTACAAGGCTCTTTTTCTCCATAGACGTGTGCATACTCTATCGATACCGTGATATATTTTTCCTTTGTATGAACATGGCGCAGCTTGGTGACACCCCCCCCTCCCTCCGTCTTGTACCCTATCCCAACGTCTTTCTTGGCGCCCTTCGTTTCACGCAGGTGGCGGTCGGGCAGGGGCAGTCCCAGGAAAAGCGCGTGTTCGTGTGCTCCCTCAAGAGCATCGAGGCAGGGCAGGAGCTTTTTCTCTCGTACCCCGCCCCGGGCACGGTCGGACTGGGGCCGGCGGTGAACAATCGCGGTTTCCAATGTAACTGTGAGGCCTGTAGAGCGACTTCCCTCTGATTGGCACAGCGTATTCGTCGCCGAACGCCGCGGTTCTTTTCACCCGAGTGCTATTGTATGAGTTTCGGATGGGATTTTGGATTGGAGCTTTGGGGTTGCTGGTTGGGGGGAAGGTCATTGGCTGATGATGTAAACTACATGCTGTTTTGTGAGAGGAGAGGTCAATGGCTGATGATGTAAAGTACGTGTAATGTTTGTGGAGAGAGAGAGAGCCAGCGGCCAAAAGGACGAAAACTCGCTACTTCGCAACATCTCTATATTCGCCGGCGGGGGCAATGCCTTTGAGTGACGATCGACCACGATATTGAGCAGCGTGTGTGGGCTTGGAATTAAGCTGCGTTTGTTGTTCCTCAGCAGTACTGCAGAGTCTGCACATGCAAGTGGGAGCTCGAGTTTGTCGTGCTTGTACAGTAACTTCATGTTTGTATTTGTAGTTTTTTATTTACGCGAAAGCGGTTATTGTTTGGTGAAACCAAGGCGATACAGTAGTACCAGTAAGCACGGGCCGGGCTGGGCACAAGTATTATAGCAGGGCTAGACACGGGGGCAGTGACGTGGTGTTTTGCCAAGGCCCTTTTGCCAATGTTGTGTGTATTTTAGCTTGGAGCAGACCAGCAGCGGCGGAAGGAGGGGCGGGGCGGGGCACCAAGTACAAAGACTAGAGATATGGGGGAGCTGAGTTGTGTTTTTAGGCTACAATTTTTGCCAGAATATTTAATTGTCACGAAGTACTTATTATTATGGTTGCATTTAAGAAAAACGCGAAGAAAAGAGGTTGGGGAATGCGCTATTTGGATGTTACTCGAAGAATGAAAAACCGTTTGATGATCCCCACGTGATGCTAGTGTTGTGTTTTTGTTTTGCCTTGGAGCAGACCAGCGGCGGCGATAGAATCCCTATGGAAGGAGTGGCCGCGACGGCAGGCAATACGGTACTGTACCCGGCCCCGTCATTTGAGCGGACCAGCCGCGGCCTCCGCGAGGTGGAGAAAAATGTGATGTCACGTGTTGTGTTTTAATTAAGGAATGTACATGTAGAGGTGCTTTGATGTGTATGCGACGAGTGCCGTGGGAATTATTAAAACAAAGCGCGCCAAGGGCGCAAAGAGGGTTTATCATAGAGATGGAGTTGTGGTGAGGCAGGTGTTGGTTTCTTGGTGATTTGTAGTGTGGGTCGATCTTCCCGAGAGAATGCGAGAATCAATGTCTAAACGTTGTTGCCACGACACACGAGAGTAATATGTCCATTTGTGCGGGAGAACGGGGGAACTGTTGTGTCTTGACAATTGAAGTGATGATAAATACATCGGTTAGACTCAGTAGGTGGAGGCAAAGGTTTGGCACACCGTTTTTAGTATCATGCGGTGGTGGAAGTCTTCCACGCGCAACACAACATTTTATCTTCCGTTTGACTTCTACTACAAGTGTTTGCGCGTTTTTTGGGTAGTTGGTTGTGACCACGTAAGGTGCCCGAGTCAGATAGACCAGTACGGACATTTGAAAGGTACTGAGTAGATGAAAGAGACCGGAACGATTTTTTATGTGAAAACCACAACAACTAACACGTGGTCGTGCCGAATTCATCGTGACGATAAACCTTGGGAGTACCAAACAACTGTGTGCGACTTACCTCCTCCGCCACGATTCGTGACACTGTTCTATTATTGCTATTTAATTCGTCCTCATTGTCGGTAGGTTTTATCTCCACCTCCATTCTCGCGTTAGTCCCATCCACTGAAAAGCACACACGTGAGACAAGACACGGTCGAAGAACGATTAACACGCGTGGAGGGGGTGGCGCCGACCCGATGTCAACCGGAATCGTTGGCATACAATCACACAGAGGCGGAAGCTTGAGTGCATATATTTTCGGAAAAAAAGCTTGCTTTCGGCACCGGTGTCGCTTCGTTTGAACATCCGCACAGAGAAAGCCGAGGTCTACAAATAGGTCGCGCTAAGGCACCGCCGCGAACTCGTGCGCGTAGCTTTCGTCAGCTCAGGGGAATCGCTGCCGGACTCAAAAACTCAAAATCATGACGGGTTTAAGTTTTTGGGGGCAGCATCCGCTCCTTCCAAGGATTGGAATTTAACCACGTCCTTCGGCATGCATTGAAGAGCGTGATGAGTTCCTTCGCACGCATGCATAGCGTCCCATGTCTTTCCTCTCCTCGTATGCATGCGTTTATCTTCATCCAGTTTGGGCAGACCACCATATTGTCGTGATGGAACAAAAAGCGAGGACTAGAGTGGACCCACCCCAAGCACGTGTGATTGGTGATGAAAAGAGAACAGAGGAGGGAGGGTGAACCTTTGTTGCAAGAAAGAAAGGCCGAAGAAAAGCTGAATGGCCCAAAGGCGTACGGTTATCGACTACCCGCCTGTTGACACCGCTGGGACCTTGAATTCGGGCATCGTTTACACCCTGACCGTCCCGCACGTTCTCTCCGACAAACACGTGCAGCACACGTTCCGCAAGAAAAAGAGTCTATTTCGTGACTAGCATGGGGTCGAGGAAATGCATACTCATGGTATCTAATCCACGGCCAGCCCTAGAGCCCCAAACCAAATGCTATGTACTTGCTGTTTGCTTGAACGAGCGATGAATGGCCTAGCGACCGCCCCCCCCCCCGCCAAAGCCAAACAAGCCACGGACACATGAACAGCCAACAGCAGCACCACCAGCAGCTCAGGCGTGCTCCAATGCCACAAAAGACTATCTATCGCAACGACAGTGGAAGGAAAACGTGTTTTGGACATTACTGGCGGCACAAGCTCTTCTCTCGAACACACACTTTCGTCCTAAAGAAACAAACTTCACAACATGCAACAAAATTAGACGGTCCTTCAACATTCCCAGCGTGGGTATAAAACGTTGGCACTGAGAGCAGCTACTCCTACCAAACTGAAAATGCCCTGACAATGGCATAGCCAGACTCCCAAAGCGAACCTTCTAGCCTCCAGTCAACCATTCGGCTTCGGAGCAAGAGCACCGTTCTCATCATTGGGCTGGTAGGCAGGTCAGTCAATGACCTGCACAAGCAGATATCGGTTTCTTCACTCTCACCGACTTGAAGAACCGCTACGCGGGGAGCACATCTCATCTCCCCCGCCCTCCCCCTCCCCTCTCCATCTCTCCCTCCATCTCTCCCGCCTACACACGACCTCTTCGCGAGAGAGAGAAGGCCATAGAGTCCTCGGCGCCCCCCTCTGCCCAGGCACCAACCCCTCCCTCCCTCCGACTTGCAGTAGACATGTTCGTGCTCTGTGTGGATTACTCGATCAGCACATCACTGCGGTCGTGGCGCCTCGCCGCTTCATCCATGCCCCCCCGTAGACCACGTACGGCAGTGGCGACAGCACCAAAGCTCTCGCGCCGTTCCTGAAGAACGTCCGCCGTCCGGCTGGAAAGTTTTTACGAAAAAAAGAGAAAGAACAATGTCCGTTATTTTTGCCGGTTACTGCTGTGTGGCAGAGGCAGCCACCCACACAAGCACGCTCACGAGGAACAATCCAGAAACTCTCACTCTTTCCAAAGAAACAAACGAAGCAGGCGAGGCTGTTGTCTACATCCGGTCAAAGAGAGGTAGGTCCTTCGCACGTGCCGTTTTCCGGCCCACGTAGCAGAAGTGGTGGTAAGTAGCGCACCCAAACGCCAGCTCGCAAGGTAAGCTATAAGTTTCTCGACCGTTCGAGAAGCGCCGCAAAAAATGAGAACATTCCCCAATAAAGCAACAGCAGTGGCGGGCTAACCCCTTAGACCCCTTGCTTACCCACCCCGCGCGAAGGCAGAGCCACCGCAAGCAAGCGTATCGCCCTTCATCACGAGCTCGAAAACGATTATACAATCCGTAGATGACACAACACTGAAAAGAAAGTGAGCACACTCCCTTAAGAAGGTTGCCGTCTCCACATGACCATTACACAGCACTTGCAGGTAGGTAGGTGTCTGAGATAGCTTGCTCACCGAGAGCCGAAGGCAGGGCCACTGCGAGCGTGATTCCCCCGACCACGAGCTTGGGGTGTTGGTTCTTGATCTCCGCGCGCATCTTGTCAGCGCTGACAGACCGACAGCAGTGTATGTGCATAAAAACAACAGAGAGGCGTGACACAGCCACCGATAAAAAAGCGATTTACCTCCAGTGATAATCGACGCCGACAACAGGCAAAAGGCGAAGATGAGGAGGAGTAGGAGGAGAGAGCGATAGCAGACAATTCATCACTCGTGAGCAAGCTCCACGCTGCGTGCAGTAGCCGCATTGCACAAAAAGGATGTGGAAGCAAGCACGGGACTCCGTACCTCAATTTGGGTACACCAGAGAAGTATGTAGATATCCAAAACTCAAAGGTGATTAGTTACTGCCCTTTGAGAAGTGGGCTCCAAACATCCCACCAGCACACTACCAACACCTATGCCATTTTACCACAAGCAACGGCACCACTACCCCAACAACAACAACAACAACAACAACAACAACAAAAGTGTGCGCCTCTCTCTCTCTTTGCTCTCACCCCCTGACTTGTTCGAACTCCTACAGTAGAAACGCGCCTTCCTCTCCTCGGCCATCTTCTGCATGCTCTCCCTAATCTCCGTCTGCCTGCAGGCGGCCCTCTCTCGTGCCTCTAAGCGTACCGTCTTGAAAACTTTTCTCAATGGGGTCCCTGTTCATTGGGGTTTTGAGTTGGCTTTCGTCAAGTCCGAACCTTGGGCGAGGCAGAAAGTAAACGATCAAATAAGACAGAGCGATGCCGGCGAAGAGTAACACACTTGATCAGAAAAGATAAAACCTCTTTCCCCAAAGGGAAAAACGCCCTGGTCGACGCATGGACACCCGGCACCCGTTTCTGAGATGAACCAATACTTAGGACGCTCACGATTACCACCTAATGCATGAGCGGTCGTGTTGGTTTGATGTGGTACCGTACAGCCCCGCCCCGGGCGGATGGCTCCCTCCCTCGAGGTGCACCCCAGTACAATTTCACTTCATTTTCCGTCCATACTATCATGGGCCCCTCCCTTCCCTTTTGCCACCTACATCGTGCACACGGGCCCAGTCAGTGTTATCCGCACATGCTTGCATTACCCTTTGCTGTAACTGCTTGGGAGTAAGGGTCGGTTCAAAATGGGGGTTGCACGCAACACGGTCGTCAGCCCTAACACTCCACTCGAAGCGATCCCTTGAGAAAGCGGTACCATACTCCAAATACAGTGTACGGACTATGCCATGAACCAATCAACCACAAGCCAAAGACTACAGTCACCCACGGAAACACGATAAACCAGGGAGGACAAACACTCTCCCACTTTTGTGCCCGCCCCTTCTCATACCCATCGGCCATGCGAGTTCACACTAAGGCCGCTCTTTCTCTCAAACGTGGACACGAACGCCCACCCCAGCCCATTCTGTCGTGACTGCCGCAACTTCTGATCTCACCTTGTTTGCCGCCAATAGCGCGTTCGCATCCCTCAGGCTCCTCTTGCGAGCGAACTGCAGAACACCTTTACCGACCGCCAATTTTCTGCGCAAAGCAAGTACCACCAGATACAGCAATGGGAGAAAATTTCTCGCTCAGAAAGTCTTGACAGCCCCCTACTCAAAAAGTTCCGACACGTAAAAAACAGGAAAAAACGAGAACACCACTTTGCCTCGTATTTCCGCAGGAATCATGGAAGGCGAGCTCACACAATTCTTGCGACCAGCATCATCAAAAGGATTATGATCGCAACCACGACACACGACACCAACTACATCAATACCTACACCACCACCACCACAACCAGCACCGACAAGCAGCCTCTAGGTGACACATACCTAGCGTTCGCATCAGACACGTCCTGCAGAATCAGGTCGCAGAGCTCTTGCGGACGCTCCCCCAGCACGTGATATCTTGTGCCGCGCTCCAACTCCCCTTCGTTCCAAAGGCAACGCCCCACGAGACCGCACAGCCCGGAGTCGTCTCTCAGGCGCTGCCCGCGTGCGGTCGTCCAGGCTACCGCGAGCTTGAGGAATCGCCCCTGAGAGTACATTCGAAAATTTGGTACCATTAGGTTGCTGTTCGGTTGGAAATATGGTAGATCGCATATGGTACAAGTAGATCGGAGTAACGTACACGAGAGGGTTGGTTATGCATATGGAACGGACGCGCGACCAATACGCGTGCGCCCGGCTCCCAGGGAAAGCACTCATGCTGCGCACGTACAGTAGACAGCAAACATTATTCGACGGCGGGCAGCGGTATGTGCACCACCGGTGACCATTGTTGGGAAAACAAACAAAAATCATCGGGGCGGTAAAAGCTGTACCTCTAATGAGCGTTTTTCTCAAACAGTGTTACTTTATTGCTTGTCCAACAACTATTATTCTGTGGGCTGTCAAAGAAGCATCCCCAGTGGGACAAAACAGATGTAGGGGTGTGTGGTACCTACGGTACCGAAGCGTCGGAGAGGTCTAGTTATGTAGCCCTGATGTTGTGCAAGGCATGCCGTCAGTCGGGTAGACATCGGCGACAAAAGTTTGGTACGCGCAAGAACCCAATACGCTGAGACCCTGCAACGCGCGCATCGCCGCTTGCGTATCCACCCGATTGTAACGGCCGTCGAAACTACATACCGGGTATATGTCAACGCGTGGGAAACACAGGGACTTAACGCTGACGACGATGAGCACCACGACTAAAGATAGAAGAACAAAATTAATCATTTTGCCACCCTGTACGGGTGTTTTGGCGGCTGCGCGTAGAATCTGCACAAAATACGATGATGGGCCGTGACTGTCCGGTGGTCGCGGCGCTAGGGGTATGGGGGCCATAAACAGGAATCGAAGTATCGGACACTTCCCTGTTTGCCCTCTAGAGGTTTCCAAGAGGCGGCGGTTATGCCGCATCTACGAAGAAGAGACAACTTCAACATGTTTCTCCTTGGCACGTTTTCGCGAACGTTGCTACCCACCCGGTGTTTACGTAACACCCCCCATGTGGATGGAAGTTAATAAAGGCCTGTTAAAGTGCACGGTATCACCCGTTAACATGTTTATCACATGCCTTACTAAGTCATGCTAACATGTGTTGACGGATTGATATCGTAATGCTCTTGTGATGTACGTGTTTACGGTCATCATTCGCACAATGGTGGTCAGCAAGCTGCCGCACTACTTGCTTGATACCGTATGAGAAATGGATACCATCCAAGAGAGACAACGAAGACAGGTAAGCTAAACCCACCTGCATCACCCTGATTCCCAGCCCCGAGGAAACGGTCTACGCACGAACTGTACTCAGCTACGAAGGTCTAGGCACATACCGTACTAAACTACGAAGGTGAGAAATGTATGAGCGGTTTGTATTAACCCTTACGTGACTGGGTTAATTTGATTCTTTTTGTTTTTTTCCCCACAACTGGCTCTCTGCGGTCAAAGATCTTCCAAGCATGCGTGTACACCCATCAATCACGGCGGCAAGGATGGTGCAGCAGTGGGTCCATGTGTGGGGCTCACAGGGATGGGGGCGCGGTATAATGTAAGGGTGACGAACAGGAGTACAGTAGTACTACTGTTGTACAGCAGTAGCAGCTATGCGAAGAGAAATAGACTGTTACAGAAGCAGTAGTTTCTGAGCAGGTGTGCATGCCTGTCTCCTTTTGCAACCGTCCGCACAGAGGATGTACCTGTGCAAGCAATACCTGTTGGCACATCTTCTCCACCTCATCCTTGGACAGAGCATACGGCAAGCGCATATGCTAGCGGCGCTAGATGCGAAGACGCTGACGGGAAACCGCCCAAACAGAAGCGCCAGATCGACAAAAAAACGGCCCGCTCATCAGAGAATCGAGACCATCATCCACTATCGCACAAAATGCATTAAAATCGTGATAATTTTTACTTTTTGTACTACAAATAGAGAGCTGTGATCGGAGCTGTGATCGGAGCTGTAGTCCCGAAAACCCTTGCCTTTGAGCGAAATTTTGCACACAGCAGACGAACCACCCTTGACTCCCAATACTGGGAACCACACGCACCGCAATCACAACAACATCAAGCACCGAGGCAGTACGTTAGCATCGGCTCCGGTGTGCGCTTTCTCTGCTCTCCCCCGCGGATGCGGCACCGGGTTGATCACATGTTCAGGGTGTTGTATGTACCCTCCGGTGGTATTTTGCGTTTGAATCTTACAGCAGTACCGGTAGGCAGTAGATTGGATCTGGAAAGGATATCTGCCCCACGTCAGAGAGATGAGGCATGGGTGAATAGTATTGTACTATGTGAGTTCTGTGCGCATTGCTGATAAGCGTGCTTTTGGGGTGGGCTGCCTGCGTCTCCCTGCTGGTCTCGTTGTATTGATTTTGCTCTTGGCCGAGGCACAACGGCGATCTTTCGGCACGCAAAGTGATCGGAGCTGAGAACGGAGCTGAATCGGCCTGTAGTCACGGAAGGGTTAACGTCTTTTTAGCTGTTAGGCTGGGAGCAGAGACTGAAAAAGCCTTGCTGATCTTCGCGCGCTGAAAATCAAGCATCCACATGGAGTTGACCATGTTCTATCGCGTGTGGTGGCCAACCTCCCGATCATACCGCTCTACGGGAGGAACTACAAGTACTTGCTGTAGGTGGATCTGCCACGAGAGGGGTCGCAAGGGATGAGACCCAGCTATCGACCCTGATGCAATAAGCAAAGCAGTAGTGCCAAGCTTTACTTCTAAGCACAACAGCCGTGCACCGGAGGCAGAGCTACTGCAGCATTTTCCGCTGCTGATCGAAGAGCATGAGATGTGCTCAGAGCATGAGATGTGCTCATACCACTACCACTTACCTCCGACAGCAGGCAAGCGGAGGGTGCGGGCCTACACACGCTGAAACTTGCAGTATAGACTAGTCTCCAATCGATAGTGCAATTCACAACGCATCACACTCACACACACCTGCAATACTCCCCACAGAGTACATCCCTCGTCCGGCTTCCTTGCCTTCTTCCACCTCCCCCGTCGCTCCCTGCCCTTCCTGTGCCGTCCTCTAGCTGTTGTAGAACCGCTGCTCGCTTCGCATCCTCATGTTCAACTCATGATCATTGAGGATACCCGCCAGTACGTTGCCCAGCTCCGTGGCCAAGTCTACGTAGCCACGAGCCAGTAGCACCCCTATCCCTTGCTCATCGATGGTGAGCGCCGCGTTGTGGTTACCTCGTGCAGACTTGCGTGAGATTACTCCGCGGGATAGTTTAGCTGCAAGGCCTCGTACGGTACGCGTTTGCCGCAGGAGCATTGTTCCACGAGCAACTCGTAACTCGTTGCTTTTCCCCCTGCACTTCTTCTCGAAATATTAATATTTCCCGCCATACCCCAGATGACGTCGGCAGTAGCTGAGATGCTGAACGTGGTTGGTTGCGAGTGCTGCTACGCTGATGCAGCACAGAGCAACAATACTCTGTCTCACTGGACACTCTGTCAAGAGTCAAGTGCCCAACGGCCCACGGAACTGTCAACTGTGGTCCGTGGCACACAGACAGCAGTATCACTCCGTCACGTACACTGTATTTCAATTTAGATGCGACCGGCGTACCCCCTGTTGTTTTGTTTTGGCCGCCACCGTTCAAGCACCTGTCTGTGTTGTGGAGAGATCGGTCCCGCCTGTCCACCCCGCCACCCGGAGCAAACATGCTCGCTAATCTCGCTCGTGCCGCAGCCCGTCCCTCGGCGGGACTGGTCCGAAGAGCTGCAGCCGCGACGACCAAGTGCTCCTCCCCCTCCGTTCCTGCTGCTGCTGTCTCCTCCGCCCCCAAGAACCTGCGATGCGCAAGCAGCCTGAGCGAGGTGCTGAAGGCGGAAATCGAAGAGGAGCGTCTCGTTGCGTTTGACGAAGGTGTGTGAGGTGTGCAGCAGCGAGCAGGTTAACTTCAAGTGAGGCTAGCACTTCGCAGAGGTCGTGGACATCTGGCCTTGGGTGTATTTGGATTCAATCCAAAATCTTCTTGGGTGGTTCAGAGGGGTCCGATCTGACGGTTGGTAGCAGGGCAGTTGCGTACTCCGTAGGCCCTTCCCCCGCCGGCGACTTTTCTTTTTTTTTTTCGGCGATTCACGATTTTTTTTCGGCAAATACTACTGATGGAAAAAAACCCTTTTTCGGCGACATTCGGCGATTCAGTATGTTTTTTCGGTGAGTCCTGTTTCATTTTCGGCGATTTTCGGCGATTTTCTTACTTTCTTCGGCTGCTACCTTGTGCTATGCTATTTTTAACTTCAGCGACTTCATCGAAGCGACTTTCGCGACGCAACATGTACTTCTAGTACACACAAACGAGCGGGTCGCGAGGCTGTCGACTGTTGGACTGCTGCAGAGGTCACCTGCCGGCGATTAGCGAACGAAGTAGTTTGCCCTTTTATTTCTTTGCTAGAGACAGCATAACAGCATGCAATATTCCTAACCTGCACTCAACATCGAAAAAATTCTGAAATAGGATAGGATCGCGACTTGGGGGCAACAAAATGTTTTGCTCCTACGACCTACGACACAATAAAGACATCAGCATTAAATTTACAAATCACAGGTCTTCAGTCGCTGTCTTGATCGCTGTCATCGCTTTCGTCGCTACCGCCGCCGCCGTTGTTGGCATCTGCGGCGCTTTCCTCCTTCTCTTCTGCTACTTTGGACCCTGCCCCTGTTGTACTTGAGCAGTGCGGTCGCTGTACACGCTCTCTTCTTGTCGTTCATTAAAGCAACACCGCAGGATGGAAAACACTCGTTCCATGAACGCAGAGGATGGTTGCAAAAGCGGCATCGATTTTGAAGTTTCGGCGGAAGTGGTGCCACCAACGCTGTGTTGGCGTGCAGAGAGGCCCTGCTGCTAGAAGAACCTGAACCAGCAGAAGAGACCCGCGACGAAGCTCTTGCACCGGAAGCAGGTGGTGCGGCTTTGCCGCTGCCGCTGCCAGTGCCGCTGCCAGTGCCGCTGCTGCCGCTGCCTCTGCTCCCGCCGCTGCCGCTGCCGCTGTCGCCGCTGGTGGCAGCCGCGGCACTTGTCTTTTGGCGGACAAATTGCACCTCATTGTCCGAATCCCCTTCGCTTTCACTGCTATTATCCCACCTACTATTAGAGCAGGCTTGCATACCGCTAAGAGGCGACGACATAGCACCGCCGTTCAGCCGTGTGTGAAGCTGTGCAGCTGTACAGAGCTACAAAGCTATGACATGTAATAACATGTTATTATATGTCATAGCCTTCTGCTTTGTAGAGCTACGAAGGAGGTACAGGGGGCACCGTGAATTTAATCGGCGACAATCGGCGACATCTTTTTCGATTCGGCGGAGCCCCCTTCAGAATCGGCGACTTTTTTTTTTTTCCGGCGATTTTTTTTTCAGCTGTTTTTTCGGTGACATTTTTCAGAAATCGGTGTTTTCGGCGATCGCCGGCGGGGGAAGGGCCTTGTACTCCGAAAACCACAGCAGTACCGCTGTAGTCGCTGTTCACCGATATATCAGCTGGTTTTGACCATTTCACACGACACGAGATTCTCGCTCTCTTCTCGTGTAAGACTGGTACTCAAATCGACGAGTTTGGCAAGGGCAGAGAGTCTCAACTCAGAGCATCTTTCTAGTAACTGCTGAACCTCTCTTGCCATTCTATTCACCCGATTTTGAGCTCTGACTTGTCCCCCACTATCAACACATCTTCCTTCGTTCCGTTATCTACGACATACCGTATATGACACAAGATAACACACCCCCTTGGCCGATTTTCAAAGCTCGATTTCTCAACAGCAGGAAGAGTCACGGCGCCGAAAACGGCAGCGTTGGAATCGTCTCGTCGAGAAATTTTCGAAAATGTATCGTTTTGTTTGTGCATCCTCTTCGTCGTGGAGTAATCGAGCTTTGGAAATCGGTTCAGGGTGTGTGTTATCTTGTGTCATATACGGTATCTTTGTTGCTTGTGTGTGTCCCTTTTGACGTCTGCCCTACGGTGCGCCACTCGTGACTTGCCACGTGCGCACTCCTGCGGCAACGTTACTCCCTCTCTCCCTGTCAAGCCTACATGTATACACTCTCAAACAGCGATCATCCGCCTTTCTTTGAGATGCATAGGAGGGTGAGTAGTGGGCAGTGCAGCCCCCACTCCCCGCCCGCTCCCTTCTCTTGCCATACACCGCGCGCTTGTTCTGCAATCAACGTTTTGTTCAACAACATGCCGTGCAACGAACATTGCTATTCTACCCAGATGTGGCATCGATGGTGAAAGAACTGGGCAAGAAGGGAATCACCGTGAAGGACGAGCCCGGGCTGTCGTTGGTACGGCTCTTCGGACCTGGCGTTGGCGATGAGAAGGTGAACCCCACGGCGGCGACGGCGAAGAATCGGTAGCCTTCGCCGGGACGTTTTAGCTTGGTTGGAGTTGGGGGGTACGGGGTCGGGGTTAGGATTAGGATTAGGGAAACGAAACCCCCTCTGAAGTTGATAGACTAATATTGCTCCATGGCGAAGGCGGTCCTGCCTCACTCTTTGCGCCAGAACTACTATTATAGTTGCTTACGATATCCCCGTCTCTTTGGCCTCTCTCTGTGCGTCGCGCGGTTGGGGGGGGGCGGGGGGTACGTATCGCCATGTCTGGCATCACGGCCTGGATCGTAAATTGAAACATGCCTTACATACAATTTTGCACAGCAGTTGAGATATTCGTCGTCTGAAAGTCGCTGCTTGTACCTGGCTGCAGCCAGTGAGTCGGTTTGTTGTCACAGCAGCGCTGCCGTTTGCAGCATGTGATCGACGCACAAAACGAAATGGCGCGAGTCGATGTTGTCTCGTCTCTACACTAACACCGCTCAAAACGGTGCGGTCGGATCGACATGCGCCAACAGCAGTACGGCCAGCGGCGAGACTGTTTGGTTCACCAACGACAGAAGCTGATGGTGACTTTTGTTTTCTTGACAAGTTGTTGAATGAATGTCGCTGTTTACCTGGTGGTGCGGAGGCATAACCCCCAACGCCTGCTGTTTCCGGTCGTCGTGTTTTTCGGCGCGCACGGGTGTGGTACGTTTTTGAAGGTATCGGTGGAGTTCGACTGCGACGTGGAGGGGGACGGCGATGACGGTTGGGAGGACGACCTGGAGGACGACTCGGACTTGAGTTTGGAGTCGGGGGAGCAGCAGCAAGGGAAGGGCGGGGAGGGACAAGAGGACGAGGGCGGGGAGGACGACATGATCGGCCCAGGCAAGTCCCCGGTCTCGCGGTGATGGGTGCGGTCCGAAAGTGTGTCTTGGTGCATGATGAGAGCCCTCGGCAAAGGGTCATGCCGTCTTTGTATGGTATTTCATGGAGGGCGGCTGGTGCGATTGATTTGTTCCGTGGTCTCAATCGACTCAACGACGGCTGCGTAGATACACATGCATACGAGCACCGTGAGAGAAAGAAGTGCCCACTCGGGTGTGCACGTTGGTGGGGATATCGTATCGGTCCTCGCCCTCGGCTTTTTGTTTTGTGGTTATTCTTCAATCCTCCGCCCACCGCGGTCGAAGTATGGTGGCCGCTACAGGCGGAAGAGGAACGGTCTGAAGGGACGTGGAAATGTCGCTATTCATGCTCTCAAGTATCGAATGGAAAATACACACAAAATATCGCTCAAACCCAGGTGAAATCTCCAGAGGGAGACGAAGTCAGCGGTGGAACGACTTTTAATACTCTTTAGCACACCGTTGAGTCCCCCCCCCCCCCGGTCTTTCGCGACAGGCTACCGCTTCACGGCAACGATCACCAAGGGGGCGAAGAAGATGGTTCTCTCGGGATCGGCCACAGACACGATCGCCGTGCACGGCATCCGCATCAACCCGGCAAACGTGGAGTGGGACTTTTCCCTTTACCGAGGTCCTGATTTCAACGAGCTCGATCCGGATTTGCAGGTGGGCGGCGGTTGGGGGGGGGGGGTGTAGCGTCGCGTCGTGCGGAAGCACTCGACGTTACCGGTCGGACACGCCGACGAGCGGCGCGGCTTGTTTGTTCTTCATGACGAATGTCCCTTGCTGTGCCTTTGTTTGGTTGAAGCTCTCCACTCGTCTGAAAATATGGAGCATTTGTGCTGGTTTTCGCGTAGTGTTTTGGGGTGGAGATCGACTTTGGCCGTTACACACCCCATATCTGTTGATTTCATTCTTTCTTACCGTGATTGGCTCCCCCCCCCCCCCTTCTCAGCTTTTTCGTTCCTACTGAAAATGACGGCTTCACAACAACCGTCATGGACGTGTCTCGTGTACCACCCTTGATAATCTAGACGCGGTCGACGCGCAGACTCGGCAACCGTGTCCTGAACGCAGGCACGCGGCAACGCGCTCGCGTGGCTTTCAATGCATGTACAGTATTAGTGTCGAGCTCGCCCCTCTCACACAGCAGCCTTCGCGAGAACATTAATCTTGGGTTTAGTAGGCGGTACGGGTTGGGAGTTAGGGATAGAGGCACGAAGCCCTTTTCTCTATTACATGCTCTTTGAGTATTCTTAATTCTCGCGGAGGCGGTCCCCCTCACAGTAGCACCGACGAACCATTTGTGTTTCTCTTGTCGTCTTGTTCCCGCAGGACGCGCTGTACGACTACTTGAAGGAGCGCAACATCGACGACGACCTGGCGGCGTTCATCTGCATGTACGCCGACCAAAAGGAGCAGAACGAGTACACCAACTGGTTGGGGGAGGTGGCGAAGTTCGTCAAGTAAACTACAGCGGCAGCGGCGTTGGAACCACTCGGTGTAGCTCGGTCGCTCCGCTAGCAACTGTTTCAGCGGGGCTTCTAGGTGGAGGGCGCGGAGGGGGGTGGTGCGGCTGGCGGTAATTGCGATTAGCGCAAGGAGAGCTTGACCTCTGCGAGGAGGCTTGTGCGCATCTGTGCCCGCTGTTCCGTGTGGTGTCAACGCACTGGCGTTGCTTCCTGTGCGCTTACGAGCGCATATGGCGAGCGCATACAGCCCTCGATTAGGACCGTAGGAGAGGGAAAGCGACGTAACCCACCGTAGGAAGAGGGAAAGCGACGTAAACACCGATGATCGTGTCGAAAATCAGCTGCACGATACGGCGAGAACTACTGCTGCCGTCGTCTGCTTGTGTGCTTTCTTTTTTTATCTTTTTCGCGGATTCGCGGCGCGCGTTGGAGCTATGTTGCACACCTGGCAAAAGTAGTCATTCTCGAAACCATTCCGGTCTTTCCCCAAGAGACTAGTTGCAGGCAGAGGCCTGACCAAAATGACGCCTAGGAGAGAGAGAGCCAGCTCTGTTGACCTATTGAGATGCGATGGTGCTGTGCTCGTTGGGCAGGCTGTTGCTGTTTTGGAGTCAAGAGCAAAGGTCCATACCGTTGCATACGCCGGATCGCCAAGAAACATGCGCTGTAAAGAAAAAGAATTAGCTATCCCTAGTCAGAGGATTAGTACCCCCTCCCCCCCCCTCCCTTCTTCCCCATCTGTGTTGCTCTCGTAGCTGCAGCTGTAGACCTCTTGATACACGTGGTTGTCCTGTAATGTATGCAAAGCTTGCTATATCTTGTTTCGCAGGCAACATGACCTTGGGTGTGGTGTGCGTCCACCAAGCGTGTCTGATGAACCTGTGGTCTTGTGTGTAGCGGACAAGAAGCCCTGACCGAAAGGTCTGTGAATGAGCTGATACCCGAAGTCCAAAAAATCTACCATAGTGGAACGCAACCCCACGCCATGGTATGCATCATGGCCGCGTGATGTGGCGCACACAAACACAATCAAGGCTTCCCGAGTCGCAAAGGCGGACGGGATGCGGCGCTCCAAGGGTCCCCTCGCTGACTCGGGGGCATACCTCGGTGCAGCGGAGAAGCCATGCTTAAAAGAGTTTGGGCGAGGCAAAGTGGACGTCGTCGATCCGTTCCAAGAAGTTACATGGGGAGCTACACCATTTTGTTTGGAAGCGGCCTTATCTCCTGTCTCACATCGGCCTTTCTGAACAGTAGTCGAGTCGCTTGTCCTATCATACGCCACATCGCCAAGAAAAACAGGGCATGCCATGCACGCACTTGGTCCGCGTTTTTACCCTAGAAAGCCCACACTATACTAACTACATGCCGACTGTCAAAAGTTTGTTCGTGTCGAGGGTGACAAGCTTCTAGTACACCTCAACCCTCACCTCAACTCCTCTACGGCATTAGTTCAGGTCTGGCTCCCCCCCCCCCCACCCCGGTCTCTCTTCTTTCTCTCACGCACGTGTTGTTCCTTCCGGCACCTCTTGGCTACCTCCCAAGTCAGAAACAACAACCAGTTCGTGGCTGAACCTCGCTGGCCCCGACACTCGTTCTGAACATCGCACGTCAAACCGGCTCTCGCCCAGGCGCATTATCTTCCTGTCCACCTTCGGCCCTGTCTCTAAATCATCACAACTCCCCACACGTCCGTGTGGTCAATGGTCAAACAACGCCCCCCCCCTCACCCCCCCAAAATGAAACTTATTCTTCGACCATCTCCTCCTCCATGATCTCGGTCACCTCGGCGAGCGCCGCCACCATCGCCTCCGCCTGCGCGCCGGTCATCTTCCCGCGCCCGTACCCTTTCCCGCCGCGATGCTTGAGCAGGTAGCCCAGCGCCTTAGAGGCCGCGGCCTTCTCCTCCTCCCCGAGGCTTCCCCCCGTCCACCCGGCGCTCCCGTCCCCCTCCCCCTCCTCCGGCAAGAACGACGCCGGTTTCTTCGCCACGCCCATGTCCGACAGGGCTCCCCCTACGGACTGAATCCCCCCGGCGTAAGCCGGCACCCCCGTATCATCACCCCCCGCCGCTGCTGGTGGTGCTCCGCTAGCGCCGCCGCCGGCCGCGGCGGCCGCGGCGGCAGTGCCGGTCACGACCTGGGCCGTGACGATGGTGAGGGAGGACGCGAGTCCTTCCACCAGGGCCTGGAGGTCCTGGCCCGCGAGCCCCGAGTGCACGTGCGCCTGCAGCAGGGCGCTGCAGCGGCGAAGGATCGCCGCGTCTTCTGGGCTAGTCGTTGGCGGGGCCGGCGGGGCCGACTGCTGCTGTTGCTGTGGCGATGGGGGCGACGGAGCTGCTGCTGCTGCTGGTTGCGGCGGTGGTGGTGGTGGTGGTGGCATGGGCTTCGATGACACCGTCGCCGCTGTCGGCGCCGCGGCCGCGGCCGCCGACCTACCGTAAGTCTCGGCCCGGAGGGCTTCACGCGCATCGACGAGGGAGTGGCGCAGTTCGGACACGCGGTCCTCGCCCTCGAGTCCAGCCGTCTTGTGCTCCGTAAGCAGGTCCATCAACTTAACCATCTGTTTCGGGCGAGACAGCAGTAGTAGTGCGGCGGGTGAATGGTCCGATGCTGCCTCCGGTAAGCCGGATAACCGATTTTGCACTTTGTCGAATCCATTTTGGCAGAGAGGCGAGCAAAGAACGCAAAACACAACAGAACAACCCAGCTTGACTCCACTGCGCTCTGCCGGCATCGTACCAAGCAATAATACCTATTCTTGCCGGGAACACAACGCGCTTGCTCACCTTTGCCTGCGAGTCGCCTTCGTCAACCAAACCACCCGACGGCATATCCTGCTCCAACAGTCTCCTCGACGCAGGGGCGACGGCAGCAGCAGCCGCGGTTGGCGGCGGCGGCGGCGGCGGCGGCGGCACCGACTTCGGGAAAACCCCGTTACCGGCGGCGGCCTTTTGGGCCTGGGCCTGCTTCAGCTTCTCCGCATAGCTGAGAGCGGGCGATCCAGAAGACGGGGCCGGCGGCGGTGGCGCCTCGGTTGCAGGGGGCAGGGTAGCAACAGGGGCCGCGACCACGTTCGACGAAGGCGCAGCGGCGGTCGCGGTACCCGCAGCTTTCGCCCCCTTGGCGAGCTTCATCTTCTCGGCGTAGCTCATCTGGGGGCCGAGCGGGGGCTTGGGCGGCGGCGGCGGCGGCCGCCGCACCGGCTGCCGCGGCTCTTCAACCAGAGACTCCTTCAGGTACGGGTTGTCGTCCGCGAGTTCTACCTTGATCCCCTTGAGGGAAGCCATGTACTGGTCGGCCTTGTTCTGGATGCTCCACGAAGCGGCCGTGCGCTTCTGGGGCTTCACCCGCTCGTAGTCCTCCCCCGACGACAGGGGCGCCGCCGACTGACAGCGGTTGGGTGGAGCAGGGGGGGGGGGTGATGTGATCGGAGGGGGGACAGCATGAACGGCAGGAACCTACGATAAAAAAAAAAAAGCTGATGTGGGCAAACGCGGAGCGGGCAGGCTGTTGGTCACCTCTTGCCGGCGACACCAAAAAGTGTCAAGAGTCCAACAGGAAACAAACAAATGATCAAAGCTCAGAAGTACCGCTCGTGAATCCAAGCATTCAATCGTTTTGGGTCGTACGGTGGCAAGAAGCCGGATCTGGCACCACAACGCCAGATAAATGCTAACGACCGGCGGACGGGTTTTGATCTGAAGCATCAACGTGTGTGTCAAAAGAGGAAACATTACAGTCTTCCACTGTTGGTTACGAGTCAACACATGTTGTTCACGTTATGGCAGCCATGATGAAAAGGGGGCAATGTACAAGACGGGGTAATGGCAGCTGGACAGTTCGCAATAACCTCTTCCCCTTCGACTGGTATGGATACTTCAAGGATGAAGTCCATGACACTCAAGCCATGTTATCCGAATCATTGATGAAAACTCTGATCTTCTCGAAGGCATCGACGCCCCACGGCAGATTGTTCTTCGACCAGCCGGACAGCAATTGGAAGGATATTTTCGTCTGCAAAATTCGAACCATTCCTGACTAATGTGTTAGCTCTGACGATTGTCTGCGTGCTTCTGCCCTCCTACTGCTGTAACCGGCCAAGCGGAGTCGACGCGACAGAGGTCTTCGGAACAAAACGAGTCCGGGAAAACCAACTGAGGCAACCCCCCTCGCGCCTCCCCCCAAAAAACCCATCATTTTGTGTTGCGTCGTTCTCCGGGCGACCTCGGGCGTTGTTATCGTTTTGTTCGAGTCAGCATCAGCATCAGCAGGAGCAATGAGACAGGATGCTCTTGGTGGGCGAGTACATAGCCGCAAAACTTTCCTCGGGATTAACGCCAAAGGTGCCATATTTCCTCTCGTGATACCTTATCCGGCACATCTGATGTGGCCGTTTCGGTGGGCGGGGAAGCAGACAGGAGCGGTCCTTCTCTGGGGGGAAGGGGCTCCCCGCGCAGCTTAGCCTGCGTTTCCTTCTGCTTCTTCTGCGAGTCGGCCTTGAGGGAGTTGAGGTAGTCGTCCGCGGCGCTCGAGCTCGGCACGTAGCCGCCGGCCCTGTTGGTTGCCGTGGCGCCACAAAACGACAGCGGATCGAGGACAGGTTGCAATCGGCCAGTCATTCAGCATGCTGTGTTGCACGTGCGCGCACGTTTGGCCGACAGGGGACACGGGGCAAGCCCGGACCCCGGAGCAAGGCATAGCGAGGAAAGACCACAGGACTAAGGCCTCCAAAGACAGGAAAACTCCATGAGGCTTTGCCGTAAAGTCGTTGCTGCGTGCAGGCTCTCGCGTATCAGCAGACACACAATCGAGAAATGCAGGAGGTGCCATCAACAACAAGCGCGTACTCAGGCCAGAAGCCCGAGTGAAACCCTACAGGACCGACGCGCCAGATCGACACGTACATGCATCAGCTCCCAGCACCCGCTAGTGACCAGGAAACCTACATACAGCGCACAGGAGTATCCAAAGATCTCACTAAGCAACGCAGCAACAACACGGTTACAGAAAAAGCGGTTGTCATCGACAAGTGTGCACCACCACCGAACGGCCATTGGCGTTACGCAACAACCGTCGACAGCACTGCATCAACTCTACCACTCACTGTGCCTCCGCCTGTGCTCGGCTCAGAGCTTTCTTCCTGGCCAGCTCGGCACCCTCGAGGGTCGGGTCGTCAAGGTCGATCCCCCTCGCCTTGGCCATCATCTTCTGCTGCCGCTCCACGGCCGCCTTAATGGCCCTCTCCTTCTCCTCCTTGCTCACGGGGGCCTGCGCCGCTGCCGCCCGCTTCGCCACCTCCTGCGGCGACCGCGGGCTCGCCCTCGGCGCCATCCCGGCCTCCTGCCGGTCGTCGTTCTGCCTGGCCTGGTTCATCATCCGCGAGAACCGGCTGCCGCCGCTGCCGCTCGCGCCGGCCTCGCCCCCGCCCCCGTAGTCGAGCTCGGGCCCGAGGTCCAGCCCCGGCATGTTCTCCCGGAGGGGCGGGTCCGGCACGTCCGGGGACCCGATGGCCTGCTCCTCCCACTGGTTATCGTCGTCGTAGTCCGGAGCGCCTTCCGGCGGGAGGGCGCGCCGGGGCTTGGCCGACGGCGGCGGCGGCGGGGGGGGAGCGCCCTGGCCGTTGGCCCGGGCGAGGAGCTCCTTGAATCGGGTGCCGCCGGGGGTGTGCTCTTCTCGATAAGGCGGGGGGGGGCCGAGGGGGTTGCTGTCTCCGCCCGGCCCGGCGGGACCTCCTTCCGACTGTTTTGGCGCAGAAACAGCGGTAGCGGCGTCGGCGGCAGCAGAGGTTGGGTTGGTGATATCGTAACCCTAGGCTTAGGAGGGGACGTGCGGTTGGTTCGACTTGAGTCAAGCTTCCGGGGATGGAAACGGTGGTGTTGGGGCTTTTCCAAGAACAAAAGAAATTACAGTCGGTTTGACATATTGCCCGAAGAAGAAATAATTACGTTCGCTCTACTGCTGTAGTGTACGGGGACATGCTACAGCACAAGACCAAAGAGGCTGCTCCAGTTCGAGCAGACCTGTGGTTCCTATGAGTTGATGTCCTGGAGAAACGCGCTTACACGCAAGCCAACGGCAAACAACAGCTAACATGTACGTGTGCATCTCTGCTGTTGCTGTTGGAAACAAACCCGCCATCATGTGGTTGATTTTCGTGTACCGCATAAGCTTGGCGTAGGCTGCTGCTGTGCAGCCTACAGCACCACATAAGTGGGATGCGCTCGGCTTGTCGCAGCAGGACAAGCGGCTCCTAGCGTACTCTCCGGTCTGCCGCCGCCGTTCATGTGGCGCGTTTTCCCGACGCAGCAGCAGCAGCAGCATACTCGTAGAGAACAACCCACAACTGCAACAAGGGCGCAAACCACTGCAACAACGCACGATCCTGAAAACAACGCACCTCCTCTGGGCCGAAGAGTGCCCCTTCTCCATCATCGGCCATGCTCAGGGCTGGCAGCGTGTCCCTTGAGACAGCCATGGCGGCGTTGAGCAGGCGAGGCTGCAGCGCAGCGAGGGAGGATTGATGTCCCACCGGCGACGAGGACCCAGATCGGGAGGTGCCGAGGCTGTGCGGCGCGTAAGTGAACCCATGGCACGGGAATATCCACGCCTGCAGTATCACCAGCAGGGTGGTTCCACGGCGATGCTTATGAGTCCTCATGACCTCCGTGCATGTGGACTGCTGTGCGGTGAGCGGTGTTGCTGTTGCTGTTGCTGGCAAACGGGGGGGGGGGGGGGGCTCCGCGCCCCTGGGTAGGAACGCCATCAGATGGGCTGGTACTCCTTGCGGCCACCGAGGGCGAACCCAAACTCCCTCCTACGCACTCCCACCTTCGAGACTCGAGACCACGATTGAGCCCTTTCTCCTCAACGGACGCCAGATTCGTGCTACTCTTCTTGTGTGAAGTGGCAATGTATTGTTAGGTTGCCTCAGACCCTTTGAATTTGTGCGTATTGCTGGTATCAGCTTGGTGTATGCAGAAGGTCGGCGGGGCGGAACAGCCGTACCTTTGCCACACCGCGGGCAACGGCAACTCCATAGATAGACAGACATGGATATCGCCGAGGAGATGACTGCCATGGCGGCCGTGGGTTTGCTGGCATTCTCGCCTCAAGATGAAGAGGGGATCGGACTGCAGTGTTCTCGGGAAGCATTGGTATCTTCGCTTGAGCGGGATCTGCAGGGGCCGCGCGTCCGAGTGACACTGCAAGGACTCTATGACATGCTTGTCGATGGTGAGAGCGGGTTGTGCTACAGTACTGCTCTAGCGTACCACTTACAGCTGCCACCGACAAATTCGCGCACCAGTAGAGCAAGGTGTTCGTCATCCTCCTGTTCTCGAGGTTTCACCCAACATCAGCGTACGGGATATGCACGGCACAACAAATATCTCCTCTCGGAAACATGTATCTCCGGTGCTCGTACATATTGGTACAGCTTCCGATGCCGACTCGCCCCAGGACGCAAAGGGTACAGTGCGGACTCGTCTCAACACTTTTTGCCACCATGTAGAGCTGTAACATGTCAGACTAAGACTTGAACTTTGCTAAACAAGACACACTCTTCCTTTCTTTTCCCGTTGTGCCTCTCAGGCGAGCACAGTCACCGCGCGGCTGTCGGTGAAGTCCTCGACACGGTGTCCTGGGAAGCCTTCGGGCTCGTGGTGGGTTGCCTGGAGCGGTTTGCCACCTCCCCTAGCCCTAACAGCAGCGGCAGCGTCACGGGTACTTTCGAGAAGTCATCGGATGAGGCGGAGACGCTAACAACGTCGCGCGACGCGGACGATTGCGCCGCCCTGTCGGAGGGGTTGGCCTTGGCAATGGCGGAGATTTTCAGCCCGAAGGAGCTGCACCTCATGACGCTTGAGCACCTCCACGCCTATACCAAAGCAAGGTGAGGCAGCCCCTTCGTTCGCGTTCCTTGTGATGAAAGTATTCCCCACGGACGGTGATAGCAATGCCTCGTCTCTACTGAATGGAGTTTCCCCCCATGCTTGTTCTGTCCGCAACTACCACCCATGTACCGGCATTCGTTAGTTGCGGTTTCCTTGTTCTTGTAGAGCGATAAGAACAGAGGTCTCGTGCGACTATCTGCGTTCACATGCGGAATCAGCCGTAACATGTGCACGACATCCAAGATGCTCAGCTCCGTTTTTCGGTCGACGAAGCCTGTTGAAACGCACGGGAAGAAACCCACGCCTCTACGTCGCTGCCTCTGGTACGGCAGGACTGTACGCGTGGTTCTGACAATCCTGCGGCGCAGCACAGAACGAATGGCAACTGCACGCCGGTCGAAGTTTTTGGAGGCTTCTTTGCGACCAGCGCTCAAAGCGGCGAAACGCGTGGGTTTGGTTGCGGCTGCCGGCGACGCACCGGCTGAACCCGGACTACGGCAAAAATCGAGCGGGAGTGATGCCGATGAAGATCCCGACGACGATGGCACTGGTCGGGATAGAGGAGAAGAACCACCGCCACCGCCGCCGCTGCTGCCAACAGCGGATGGAGACATGCCCTCGAGTGCGGCGTACGACGCGGCCGCCTCCGCCGCAGAGACCGCAGCCGACTTCATCGGTCCCCTGATGGAGCAGGCAAGCGCGGAACGGGCGCTGCTCGCGGTTTCGGGGCTTCCAACGGCGGGACGCGGAGAAGGCAGGCCGGCGGCGGCGGCGGTGGCGGCGAGCGCCGGGGGGAGTGGCCACGCCGTCGGGTCTGGGGAAAAAGAAGGCGTCTCGGCGTCAGATCTGTCGCTGGCGGCGTACATAGGCTTCGCGCTGTCGGCGTTGGAGCTCGCGGGGGAGACGTCGGTGTGCTGCACGGCAGCTGCCGCAGCCGCTGCTGCCGCCACAGGCTCTGAAGATAACCCCGCGGCGGGGGAATCGCTGGCAAGAGCCGAGGAGCGGCTGATCGGAATCGTCGTCGATAGCCCCCTCGACCTGCGGTTCGCTCTGCTCCACGGGTGCCGAGTGTCCTACGCGAGCGGGGTTAAGCGGAGGAGGAGAAAGAGCGAGGGCGGTGGAGAAGAGGGGAAGTCGCAACTGCCGGCAGCGAGGTTAGGCGGGGCGGTTGGGCTTGCAGAGGCTGCCGTTAACGGTGCTCTGCCGTGGACGCTCCGAGGGGTGTCGACCCTCGCATACCTGGTGAGTGAGATCAACGAGCCGGGTTGAGATTCCGCACGTCGCGGTGGTTTTTGATGACCGCTTTGTTGGGCGGGAGGTACATGGGTATGTAGATCAAGGGGGTCGGAAGTTGTTTTCCCTTCGCTTGTCGCTGGGTGTCGTGCTCATGCAAGCTTCCAACGTAAACCGGAGGTAGGAAGGCACTTGTTGAGCGTTTTGAGGCGAATAATTTTTCCAGCGCACGTAGAACGTGCTCCGAGACGGCCTCGCTACGCCAGCGGTCGCTTTGAGACACCACCCCCTCCCTCCGTCCACCATGAATCACTATGATTTAGCAGCTTGTTTGTGCTCTTTGGTCGCGAAGATGTGGTGAGCGCGTTTTAATGCCTGCTGAGAGGTTCGTCTTCTTTGCCTGCACCCGGGCAGGTCGCCTGCGAGCCGAGGCTCCGCGACAAGTGGCTCCCCCTGGTGTGGTCACGGCGGACGGAACGCCGGCTGTTTCTTCCGCACGCGGAGGTAGGAGGCAACAGGGGAGGTCAGCCCGCCATCGGGCTGATTAGCACCACGCACACACGTATGTCAGTACTAAATACCGGAAGCCCGCGTGGTGCACGGGAGCGTGATTCAAGTATCATCGCACCGCCATGGCTCCGAAACAGAGGTGCTGTTACACCAAGAGTGTGAGGGTTCCCTAGTTCGGTTGCAGCCGAACGTCAGGTCTCGTGGCGGCTTCTCTGTGGAGAACGGATCGTCTATCGCTGGGTACTTGTCTTTTTGTAGCATCCGATGAGGAGTGCATCAGTCCTGGGCATACTCAGGCCGCCGCTCACACCAATCCGCTCCCCCCCGACCCACATCTGGACGCGTGGTCAATGGCCTTAACAACTAAGGCACATGAGTACGCCCCCGCCCCACGTCTTCCCACTCTTTTCCATTCGTCCCGGAACGGGTTAAAAAAAAAGGTGCTGATGCGGGACAGGTCGAGGCGTGTCGCCAACAAAGGGTTGGAGCTGGCGTGCTTCGTGGCCGAACGCCTCGGGGGGTTTCCCGATCGCTCGGGCGCCTATGCTTTTGACTGGGAACCCGGGGACGAAGAGATCGACGGTGCGGGTGATGACGGCGGCGGAGGCGGTGCTTGGAATGGCGGGGGCCGACAAGAGGCGCGTTATTGCTTGTTGTTTTCCTGTGCACGTCACATTCGTCGTTTGAATTTGTGTTTGTATTTGAGTTGAGAATCGAGATCTTTGCTTGCACATACGAAAGAAATGGAATCGCACCCGCTTCTTCCCTCACGAGATACAGACACTCCGTACGGGCACACACGCACATCAGGACACAATCACGAGTTTTACGGGTAGTAAAAGGCTAGTAAGGTTAAGAGAGCGCACAAGGTACAAGGTGTTCGACAGCCCGGACCTCCTCTCCCACCACTATCTTACGATCTTCCGCCCCCCTCCCACCCCCTTCCACCCCTTTCGGCGCCACGTGGCGGCTTGGCAGCAGCGGGATGCCGGCAGCAGCACCGCCAGCGAAGGCACAAGTCCTTCGTCGCGACGGAGACCCTTCGACCCCCACCGCCTTGACCTTGCCGGCTTCCTCCAGGTCTTGGTCGACGTGATGGTGTCCTGCCCGCTGCCTGGCCTCCGCACTCGCGGGCACGCGGCCCTCGTGGCGATCCTGAGCGGCGCCGACGAAGCCTCCCGCTTCCGCTTGCTGAGGCGCCTGGTGGAGCTGTGCCCCTGGCCGAACGCGAGGGGGCTCCTGCTCGACGCCTTCCGCCGGGAGATCGACCGCGCGCTGCGGCAGTGTGGGATCGAGGAGGAGGAGCGGCAACAACAACAGCAGCAGCAGCAGCAGCAGCAACATCAGCAGCAGCAGCAGCAACAACAACAACAACAAGCTGCGCCGTCCGCACCATCGTCGTCGTCGTCCCCGTTCGCGTCCGCGCTCGCGGGCGACGTGGTGTGCGGGCAGCTCCTGAGGGCGTGCAGGAGAGGGCCGCTTGCGTCACTGATGGCGGACATGGACAGCCGTACCGGCGGGCTGGCGCTGGCCCGGTACGCGCACAAGCTTGACGCCGTCGGCGGCGCCCGGGCGGATAGTGGTAGGGCGGAGGCCGGGGCGGCGTGGGGTAGGCTCGGGCTTCGCGAGCCGAAGAAGCTGCTGCAGAATAGACTGCTCGTGCAGGTGGGTGGGTAGGAGGTGTATGATGCATCCGCTTTTATTTTGTCGGGTGTTCGTGTGTCGCTGGTTATGTAGACGGAGGTGTCCTTTCATCATTTTTCACAGTGGAATAGTTTCGTATTAGTGTTAATGTTTGCTCTTCGTGTAGGTCTGTCTTGCTTTTGCTGCATGTAGGCCTCACGGGTTTCCTGCTCATGCTGATCGTCGCGATATGCCAGCGGTAAGACACTCGTCGCAAAGCAAACCTCCCCTCCTCCAGAGAGGGTCGAGCAGCAAGTAACAACTCCAACCTATTCGTTTGAAGCTTTATTTGAAAACGCTGGATGGAGAACTTGTCGCACGCGATTCCAAAACGCAGCAGCCTCAAGAATCGCACACGCACTAAACACGCACACCCGCACGCAATTAACTCAGGGGTTGCTGGACGAGCTGCGAGGAGCTGTGATCACGGCCAACAACGCTGGACCTGAGCACTTCCGGCTCTTCATTCTCGAGGACGCTGCGCAGCAATGCCTTCAGGAGCTTGAGCTGGCGGTAGTATAATAGCACCAGAATAGCGCGCGCGCGGGGGGGGGGTGACGAGGGGTAAACACCACAATTCGCGTCGCCCCCACCGGCATGCTTGCTTTTTTACTTACTTCGAGCCCCCCTTGTTGTGTTGACACCGATCCTCCCTTCGTTCTTCATCGCCAGGCGCCCATCCCGTAAAGTACACACGTATAAAGTTAATGTTCATAGAGTATAAAGGGCGCCGTGTGGTGGGTCCGTATGGGAAAGAGAAAAGGGAACGTGCTGTTGTAACAAGTTGTGCTGGAGTCCGGACTAGGCTCGCCATTCGATCGATCAATCGCTTTGACGCTGTCCCATGGAGCAGCTGGCGATGGGGGCCCCGCGTGCAGACGGCACGTATGTTTGTGTAGCTGTCGGAGCCACCTCCTTGGTGTGTGTGTCCGGGTGCATGACGGTTGCAAAGGTACCGCGGCACTCGCAGCGCAAACAACTATTTTCATTGTGAGCGGAGTTCGAACGCGTGCGGAGACAGAGCTATTTTGCCGCCTTCCCTGGAAGTCATATTCGGGGTATCGTAGGATCCAGGACGCCGCCCCACAAAAGACAGAAGATAATCAAAGCGCAGTCGGGGTGAGCACCACGTTTGAATAGTCTTCAGTCATGAACGGTACACGTTAGCACGCGTGCAACATGACGACACGCTTCTCTCGCAAGCTGTATAGCTTATCTTAGGGGCTGAATCCCTTGATTTCTTGGTCGTTGGCTAACTACACCCAACCATCCTCGGGGGCGTGTTCGCCTCTCCTTGTTTTTTGGAGCATGTCTCAGTTTTCGCGAAGGCAAGTCACGTACCACCAAGTAGGCCAGCATATCTTCACGCGTGGCCATGCCATTTCTGGGGGACAGCTTTCGAGTACGTGCCAGCGTCAGGCGTCAAGACACGAGTTTTTTCTGAATTTTATGTTTATTTTGCACCTCGTAGAGGGCCGGGTAAATGCCAAACACAGCAGGTAGGACGCCATTTTCCGGGCGAAAACGCCAACCCGTGCTTTGCCGCCATGGACCTACCACCCAGCCCCCCAGCCAAGCCGTTCTCCACCCCACACCCGAGGCTCTGTATCTCCGCATATGTGGTACATGAAGCAACCTACCACGTCATGTTGGATCTTTCCCGACTTGGCATGCACTGCCCGGCCCTGCGGCAAGAATTGGAGGAGTAACCCCGCCGGCTGCGAGAAAACCGTCCAGTCAGTCTTGCCCCCCGCTCCCCCCGTCCACATTCTCGTCTACAGATCCCCGCGCTACGACAAGCTCCTGACCGCCGTCAAACAGCCAAACCACGCAGAGCCAAACAGCGCAGAATGCTACAGAACACGCGAGTGGCCTCCCCCACCCACAAAACGCCACTATTACTAAACTGCTTAATTGTACACCATGTACTTGGGCGTCGACGAGAACTTCTGGTACCCCTTGATGACCTTGTTCACCGCGTCCAAGAAGTCCTTCTCCGAGATGGACTTCTTGCGGGCGCGGATGGCGAACATGCCGGCCTCCGTGCACACCGACCGCAGCTCTGCCCCCGTCGTGTTGGGGCACAGGCGCGCCACGAGCTCGTACCGGATGTCTCTGTCCACGTTCATGGACTTGGAGTGGATGCTCAGGATGTGCGCGCGCCCTTCCAAGTCCGGCAGCCCGAACTCAACCTGAACATAATCATAAATGTTTGTTCGGTTTCATTATTTTTTTGTACGAGACTATAAGAAGAAGGTTAGCGAACGAACTAGAGAGGATAATATCTACCACGGAGGCTGTGATAGTGATGACAAAGGGCAGGCAGGAAGGAGCGCCACGATAAAGGGTGTTGGACTATTCGTTCGATTGCGAAATTAACCCTTTCTCCATCTGTTGACCGCGAAAAACCACTTGCTTGATCGTTAGGGGCGGGTTCAAAGACTCCAATGCGCACAAAAAACAACTCAAGACAGCCAGCCCGTCCTCCCCCGCCCATTTCCAAGACCAGAGTCAAGCACGTTGGAGACCAACCAAAGAGCGTTCCCGCTTGGGAAAAAGATGAAATCATTTTTGAGAGGGATATTTCAGAGAGCAGGATTAGACAGATCAACCGCCTTTCTGATGAAGAAAACACAAGGCACTCCTCTGCGCACCCCCCGTTGGAGGAGCCCGGTGACCAGAAAAACGTGTTCGCGATTTTTCATCTCTCTACTTCAAGAACCGACGACTCGTCTTATCATTGGTCAGCCGGCTAGCGCGGTCGATGCTAAACACAGAAACACAAAACAAACACAAAATCTAGTCTAGCACTCGATAGGCGCTCTATTGCGATTTAGATACATGCACTTCAATTCCACTCTATTTTCAGTATAATAACCCAAACCGACAACATAACACAAAAGGCAATCGCTTATCGAGTAAAAACCTAAGAAAATTACACTCTCCCCACGCATCTCACCTTTCGGTCCAGCCGACCCGGGCGCAGGAGCGCGGGGTCCAACGTGTCCGGCCGGTTGGTGGCCATGAGCACCTTGATGTTCCCTCTCGGGTCGAAGCCGTCCAGCTCCGTCACGATCTGGAGCATGGTTCGCTGCACCTCGTTGTCCCCCCCGCTGTCGTCTCCCCCCGTCCGACTCCCGCCTGCGATCCATCCATCCATCCACCAAATCCATCCGTCCGTTTTTTGTTATTTTGGTGCAAGAATAGGCAGAGGTCGTCAAGCGAGAGCGAGCACGGCGAAAGAACATATCCTTCCGGTAGGTTTACTACTAGAAACGTGTCAGCTCACCAGTAGTTGTGTTTGCTGACTGCACAGCATTGAAGTGTGTCCTGCTTCGACGTGAAACAGAGGCGGAGGGAGCGACCGAGGAGGCGTCTAGCACCTGCTACGCGAATGCCGTCGTTGCCGTCTTCAAAGTCGTTCCTCATGCGAAAAAACAATCTGCTATCGCACCCTAAAAAGAAGCACAAACAACAACGTTACACCCACCAATGGCATCGATCTCGTCGAAGAACACGATGCAGGCCTTCTTGCTCCTCGCCATCGTGAACAGCTCGCGCACCATGCGCGCCCCCTCGCCGACATACTTCTGCACGAGCTCGCTCCCGATCACCCGGATGAAGCAGGCGTCGGTCCGGTTGGCCACCGC